CTCTATAAATCATAGCAACATGGTCAGTTTAGAGCTTAGAGTGCTTATATATATATATATATATCCTAGCTAAGGTGTAAAAAATAAAAGGGAAAAACAGAAATCCAAACATCTGTGCTGCAACTAGACACCTCCATTTTGGCTCTGTGTCAATCATTGTTAAAAGTTCTGTCTTTGCACTTAGAAGGAAACTATAATGCCAGGAAAACAAGGTTGCTTTTCTGGCACTATAGCTCCCTATAGTGACCAACTCCGTCAACCCTTTTTTGTCACTTACACGAGTCCTGCACCGTACCTCGGTGCTGGTTAGGGCTCAGTCTCCGCTTCTCCCATTCTGACGTCAGCTGGCATGGGAGACCTAATACGCATGCGCGGCAATGGCCATGCTTGCATTAGTATATTCCCCATAGGAAAGCATGTACAATGCTTAACTATGGGGTTTTACATGACACTGAGGACGTCCAGCATCAGTTAGGCGACCAAAAGTTGAAAAAAAACAGGAAGTCCCCCTAGTGGCTGCCTGGTAGGCAGCCATTACAGGTGGAGTTAATCCTCAAAGGTAATTACTGAAGTGGCCTGGGTGCCTATAGTGTCCCTTTAATAATCAGCATAAGTGAAACATATTGATAAGAAAAGAACTGAAACAACATTTCTATTTCTCCATCACCTTTGCAATCTGTTCAATGCTGATCTTGGACTGACCTGGATTGTGTTGCCTGTATCCAAAGCTTTAATAATTTTAAAAGACAAAAGAACATCACTGTGTCAAATGCTCCATTCCATGAATGTTTGCCATGAACTCCTGGAGGAGTGTGGAAGCTGGCCTCCTGCCCATCAACTATGGTCTGGGTCTGAGACCCTGTGTGGGAGTTATACTGTGCAGCTGCCCTTACCGGCTTTCCCTCGGTGCCCCTGGTTCGGCAATTTCTCTTCTAACAAATTGAACTGAACGCTCACTCCCTGGAACAAACCCACAAATGGTCCTTAGCCGCGACTGCTATGGAACTATGTTTAGCATGAGGAGTTCATGGCTCCTCGTCAACCCGCGAATGGGCCTCATCGGTACTTAGCCGCAATTGTTATGGAACCATTTTCGGCTATGTGACCTTGCGATTCCCGGTCAGCTTGTTCTGGTGTTTGGAATCACTTGCCGACCCGCCAGGAGAGCACATTTTGGAGGGAAGGAACAAACGCTCCTTGAGAGCCAGGTGGAGCACCCCGTATTTCAGCTGCAGGAAGTTGACTGGCCAAAGCACATATTGCTCTGGAACTATTTTGGGCATAGGACTACGTGTGCGGCTGGTCAGAACTTTACCCCGATGGCGTTTCCCCTGTACTGCATGGATCTGAGCGCTATTTGGAGAACTTGGGCGCCCAGTCCCAGGAAGGAAATAGAGCTATATCCCTATTCTGTTCCAGGATGGAGAGGCTCCTTCCCTGTACCTTAGTGTAGCAGACACCATTCCCTTATGTTCGGTTGTCCGTACCCCCTTGTTGGTTTCCCAACTTACTGGTGTGTGATCCCTTGTTATGTCCCAGTGAAACCACAAATGTTAACCACAAATTAACAACTTGACACCTTCGCTTGAGTGCTTCACTGGGCGGCCGCCATTCGTATAACCAAATGCACGTGGGTCCATTTTGTCTCCCGAACGCAGGCAGCGGTACCTGGTCGTCGAACACCTGGAACTGTTTTCAGCCTCGCGTCTCCGCGAACCCAGGCAAAGATGGTACCGCTGCCCGTCTCACTTCCCAACCCACTAGATGAACGGCGATTGGGAGATAGGATCTGTAACTGAGCTCCCTGTACCCCGACTGGGTACCTCCGCCAAAGGACCACTTCCTAGCTGGAACAGGGGAAAAACTGCATTACTTCTGCCCTCAGTCGCTGTGGCTTGACTGGGGCCCTGAAACCGCTCTCTACAGGAGCCGAATGGGGAATTCACTCTAGACAACCCCAGGCACTGGACGACACTCAGTCCTGGGAGCTCTAGTCCTTACAAGGACTTTGCCTGTTGAACCCTCCACACTGGAACAGTGATTAAAGAATAGCCCTTTCCCCTCTCAGTAACCAGACGACATATAGTTCTGGGAGTACAAGCTGGAACACCTTTAATGGCAGCCACAACTGGCCTTATATGCATGTCCCCATACAAGGGGCACTCCTCCCTGGACCTGAGAGTAAACCACAGTAGAAACAAATACACAATTACATTGGCTTTCAGATCCAGGACACTCCCATACATAATCAGATAATCCCTCCTCTGTGCCTGGGAGATAATTGGATCAGGAACTGTACTAATCTAATCCAGTTATCTCCAAGCACAGAAAGAAAAAAAAAAAACACACACTTTCCTAAACACCCCAAAAGTACCCTAAAAATACATAACCCCACAAAAGTTACATCCCCTGATACTCCTGATCTGGGTGACCAACATATCCAAAAATCACCCAGATCAGTTCAGAGGTTTAGGAATTTCCTAGAAGACATTTGTTTGACTGAACGCACGCATGGTCCCATGCTCAAAACAGTTCCAGAGAATCAGGGTTTGCGGTCCGTCTAGTTTGGTAGTCTAAAAATGAACAAACTACCGAACAGTCAATAGTCTTACCCTGGAGCTTGATCCCCTTGTTTGTGGGAACGTTTCCACTGAACAGTGTCTTTCTAAGTGTTGTCGAACCGAACGCAGGCGATCATGGAAGTCCAGCAGTGTTCGGGAGTTTCACTGTCTGAAAATAGTTCCATGAATTCGACGACCAAACACCGCTGCCTGGTTTCATATGATTAAGATGGCCGCCACCTCGTGGTCGTCCATAGGAATTGCGGCCACCCAGACAAACACTTAGAACACTGCGGTGAATATTGCTACAAAGTATCTATTAGGCTTAACAAGCTCCAGGGTGGTCTCTGGCTCGTGCAGATGTTCAGTTCCCAAACCATATAGTCCAAATACATGAACTGAGACTTTTACAGGGTCCATAGTCTGTGGGCAGGAGTCTGGCAAGCAGGCTCCTTCAGGAACTTGTGGCAAACTCACCTAGAAAGGGGAGTTTGTCACAGGATCTACCGAACAGGGGGGGCATTCGCTCCATAGCAGCCAGGTGGAGCGTTCGTCAGTGTCCGCACAGAAACCCCCGAAAGCTTTGTTTGAACATAACTTTCGTTCTACCAAACCGATCTGAGTGCTTTTTGGATATGTTGTGTGCTCAGATCGGGGCTATTCGGGAATATGATATGGGGGTTCTGCATTATTATTATTGCCATTTATATAGCACCACCAGATTCCGTAGCGCTTTACAATATTATGAGAGGGGGATTTAACTATAAATAGGACAATTACAAAAAACTTACAGGAACAATAGGTTGAAGAGGACCCTGCTCAATCGAGCTTACATTCCATAGGAGGTGGGGTGTAAAACACATTCTTTGATGATGTATTGTTGGAATATGATAAAAATATATGTAAGTTTCTGTATTTGAGAGATAATTGTGTTATCCTAATTTGAGCTTAATTATCTCTCAAACACAGAGGCTCTTGAGAAAGAAACCCTTGTGTTCTTGATTTGGAAACCCCATGCTAGGGGCAATGCATAAAAGCCACATGTGGCAGAATAAACTTCAGTTGTACTCCCAGAACTGTGTGTCGTCCAGTTGCTGGGGAGGAGGTGGGCTGATTACTTGGCAATTTCTTGTTCCTAATTACTACTCTTGGTGATCCAGCGGAGGAAAGTCCCTGTCAGGAATAGGGCTCCGCTACACTTAGGTTCCCCAGTAATTACACAAGTCAAAAAGTATACTACAAATTTGTAGTGCCTAGGGGGATTTTTAACAGTAAGTAAAATTTCAATTTTGTTTGATATTGTTTTGTCTTTTAAAATTAATATTAAAGATATACAACACAATCCAGCTCAGTACAGTAGACAGTATAGTATAACACAGTATAGTATAGTATAAGACAGTATAACACATTGCAAATGTGATGGAGATATAGAGAAATTATTTCCGTTGTTCACTTCAGTATGCGTTCCCTATACTAGATAAATAGAGGCAAAACCTATCACAGTGTTGGGTCAGTTTTCATTTAACCACAGCCTGATGCACCTTTTGTCTAAAAGCAGGCAAGCATGTGCAGCTTATGTTTTGTGAAGGTATTGATGGAGGACAAGACAGCCGCTTTGCAAATGTGATCAGCTGTTGCTGAAGTCCTTGATGCCCAAAAGGTAAACGATCTATGTTTTACACAGAGAACCGTGAAAGTGCGCTTAAATTCTATGAGAAAATATATATATATAATATATATATATGTAAAGACTGCTTCACACTCCAGGGAGAAGTCCCCTCACCCCCTGTATTAGATATATAGAATAAAAGATTGTATACACCAAGGTTAAACAGATGTCCAGCCCCGGTATATACCGTAGTGGAGCGCTTCGGAAAGTCAGTGAGATGGACAACAATACTCACATCCAATATTTGTTGGTGATTAATAACATAAGAAAAAAGGGACTGAGGTAAAATATAGTGTAAATCTGTGGAGTGATTAATTTCACATATAGGTTGTTGGGAATTCCAACTCACATTTACTAGAACCTCTAATAGGACAGGCTCAGATCACAAACACTTCTGTGCCGTCTGGTGACACTTAACCCTTTTTCAGTTTGCTGATTTCCCTCAGAAAAGACAGAAACAGAAATACTTATTTGGTGCAGTATATAGTGACCCAATGGTTATATCACTTTAAAAAGCAAATCAGTGCTCACCTTTACCAGAGCCCCTGGTACCTGGCTCTGGGTATATACACTTGAGTGCCTGTAAAGGAGGCACCACCCTTAATGGCAGGAAGCAGAAACTGAGGCAGTCGAGTAGGAACTTTAAAAATTTATATTTATTACAAACAAAATAAAATGTATAAAATACAAGTAAAATAGTAATAGTCCCTGAGTGGACTCCTCTCACCGAGACGTGTTTCTCCCAGTGTCTTGGGCTTTCTCAAATCGGTATAGTGTACCAGCTGCTTCCTCCTGATGTTAAGTATCTTCATCAATGTCCCCATAGGTCCATTTGAATTGACGTTCTCCAATAGTCCGTCGCGGCCATTACCCATAATGGCATTCCAGTGGCGACCGCTATCCCGGAAGTGATGCTTTCATCTCCGACGCCACTTCAATCCTCCTCCCATGCCCACATGCCAGGAGGTGTAGTTCTGATTGCCCTTATATCTATACCGTGCCATTTACTCACACAAAAATAAAAGAAAAGGGAAAAAGGGGGAGAAAAGGGAATAAAAATTAAAACCTATTCTTCAGATGTAAATATGAATTATCTACTCAAGCAAAACATGCAATAAAAATAGCTCCTCCACATGTATCATAACATGTGGAAATGTTCTAACCCCTTAAGGACCAAACTTCTGGAATAAAAGGGAATCATGACATGTCAGACATGTCATGTGTCCTTAAGGGGTTAAAGAGACACATCATTAATGGAACAGTAATATTTAAAATCAAATTACATCATTTCAATTGATTACAATAGTGACTCTTGGTTTTCTCTTATACTGACAAAATCAGTATCTTATTGATGACTAGACTTATTAAATAGCTCAAATTGTGAATGTAACAACTTCAATTTTGACAATCCTTTTAGTACATGAAAAACTTAGATAAAATAATAAAGACTACTCAGCCATCGCGACTGGAATGCCCTTATGGGTAATGGCCGCACCAGGTCCGGAAGTGACGCGATGGACGACGCCGTGAGTGAGCCCAATACACAGATGGGGAAAATATACTGATTAAGGAGTTTGTCGTCGTAATTTTACTATTGGAGGACGTCAATTCAAACGGACCTATGGGGACATTGATGAAGATACTTAACATCAGGAGGAAGCAGTACAATATACCGATTGAGAAATCCCAAGACACTGGGAGAAATGCGTCTCGGTGAGAGGAGTCCACTCAGGGATAATTACAATTACTATTTTTACTTGCATTTTATACATTTTATTTTGTTTGTAATAAATATATATTTTTAAAGCTCCTACTTGACTATCTCGGCTTCTGATTCCTGACATTAAGGGTGGTGCCTCCTTTACAGGCACTCAAGTCTATATACCCAGAGCCAGGTACCAGGGGCTCTGGTAAAGGTGAGCACTGATTTGCTTTTTAAAGTGATATAACCATTGGGTCACTATATACTGCACCAAATAAGTATTTCTGTTTCTGTCTTTTCTGAGGGAAACCAGCAAGCTGAAAAAGGGTTAAGTGCCACCAGACGGCACAGAAGTGTTTGTGATCTGAGCCTGTCCTATTATGCCTCGTTTCCACTGAGCGGATCGGGTCGGTACGCTATTTTGAGTGTTTCCATTATGAAAGTGGCCCATACAACCGCACCATTCATGGTCCTCCTTCAGATGTTGGGCCATAGGAAATGGTACGGTACGGTAAGGGCGGCGCTACTACCGTCACACTATACAATCCATTGATTGGTGGACAAGAAAACATCAATGCTCACGACAAATGACACGCTATGCATTTTTTCTATGGCCCCTGGTGGTCCGACTTGCAGTGGAAACGCTCACCTGAATAGGCTGGACCATTCTAAACCTTCCAAACTGTACCGACCCGAACCGTTCCGCTCAGTGGAAATGAGGCAAAGAGGCTCTAGTAAATGTGAGTTGGAATTCTCCACCACCTATATCTGAAATTAATCTCTCCACAGATTTACACTATATTTTATTTCTCTCTCTTTTTTCTTATGTTATTAACCACCTACAAATATTGGATGTGAGAATTGTTGTCCATCTCACTGACTTTCCTTAAGCGCTCCACTACGGTATATAAAGGGGCTGAACATCTGTTTAACCTTGGTGTATACAAACATTGATCTAGTCTAATGAGCCTATATAAGTTGAAGAGAGAGCGATTCACCTAGCCAAGGTAGCTTTAAAGCGGTTTTACCCTTGTTGCACGTTGATATGGGATAATAAGATGATTGGACATACGAGAATGCTGGATTCCATTTAAAAAAAAATTGAAAGAGCTCTTTGCACATTCAAAGAATGGAGCTCTAATTCTTTTATGTTTCTCAAGATTCTGATAAAACACTGATATCTCCTGATTCAAAATTCTGCACTGAAGAGACGTTTGAACAAAAAGAATGAGGTAGCCTATGCACCACTTTATCCAATTAAAAAGCCAAATAAAGTTCAACATTGTAACGGATCCTGATATCCTTGTAGGAGAGATCCTTGCAGCTTCTCCAGAAATCCCAGATGAAATAGAGCTTTAGTAGTGATTATAGCTCTCAATCCCCCAAACATGAGCCAAGACTTCATGAAGGGGTAACACAAACTGTTTAATGGATGCCACAGGCTGGCCTTTTATGACAATTCCCCATGCAAGGGGTACGCCCCCTGGACCTTGTGGGACTGGGTGACAAAACTGTTACACCAATCAACATGTTTTTACAGTTTTATAACACTCCCTTTTTACAGTTGAAAACTCCCTCATCTGTGCTTGGGGAGATAATTAAATCTAGAGCTGAGCTTATCTAACTCAATTATCTCCCCGCACAAAAAGTACAATATTTTACTGGTACCCCGAAAGTACCCATAAACAACATGGCAACCCCACAAAAGTGATATCTCCCCTGATATCCCCGATCTGGGTGACAAACATATCCAAAAATCACCCAGATCGGTTCAGGGGTTCAGGATTTTCATGGAAGTCAAAATTTAGCCGGCTACACATGAGGCACCTGCCCAAAAGAGTTCCAGAGTTTTTAGCTGTGTAGCCTGTATAGTTTGGGACTTGTAAAACACATGAAATATCAACTTTGCTGGTTTGTCACTTAGTTTGTGATATTTCCCCCGTTCGTATTTTTATTTCTGGAGAATGCCACTCTGTTCGGTAGTTTCCGTACGAAATGACAAGCATATAGAAGTCCTAGCGGTTCGTGCCGTCGAGTGTCCGAAAATAATTCCACGCACTCGACAAGACACCGCAGCTTTGTTCGACAGACAAGATGGCTGCCACCAGATGTTCGTGCATACGAACGACGACCAGCCATCTGTTCGGCAGTTTCACTGTGGTTCACAACAAGCCTGTGTGGTCAATTAGCGGCACACTTCACTTGAGGGTGGTCTGGGGGTTTGGTGGTTTTTAATCAGACGAACCAACAGACGAAATACATGGAGCACAAAGTAATAAACGAATGGGACTAGGCAAACAAGGAATAGTTAGGGCTTATAATTATCTTAGTCTTTTGGCCAAAGTACTGCCCATGAATGTTTTTTTCCCATGACATGTTGATAGTTAACAAGGGTTCAAATAGTGGTACATAGAGTGCCGGAGGTACCGAGTTCAGATGCCAGTGATGGACTATTTCCCAAATTGATGGAGCTTAATTGTAAACTGCTTTGATAAAGAATTTTTTTAAACTTACTCTAAATGTCTTTTTCCTTAAGATTAGAGGCATTGCAACACTAGGGTATCACCTTCTCTTGCGGCAAAATAGGCAGACAGGACTGAATAAAAATATAAAAAAAGATTAAGCACCTCCTCATCCTTAACCCCAAATGCCCAAGAACAGGCATAGGCAACCTTTGGCACTCCAGATGTTTTGGACTACACCTTCCATGATGCTTTGACAGCATTAATGGGGGTTGTAGTTCACAACATCTGGCGTGCCGAAGGTTGCCTATCCCTGCCCTAGAACGTACACAAGCTAAACGGATGCAAAAATAATTGATTGATATGGCGAGACAGAGAAATATCAAGGTGAGGGGGATCCCAGATACTGTGACAGCAGACGAACTGCCGCTCCTCATAAAGAGGATGCTACAGGCTGCCCTTCCATTAAACAGGCCAAAGGACTGACCCTGGGCAGCCTATTCCACATACCAGGGCGCCCACGCAATGCCCCAGACTCCGCAAGGGATGTCATAATGAGCTTCAAATCCCGCTCAGATAAAGACGGATTCCTCCATGCTGTCAGGGGCCAGACCCCGTACGCTTTCGAGGACCTTGCCTTATACTTTTACCAAGACTTGAGCCACTAGACACTGCAGTGGCGTTCATCCCTGAAAGAAACCACAACATGACTGAGGGCAGCGGACATACAATACAAATGGGGCTACCCCCGAACGCTAATTGCCACACAAGAAGGGCAAAGCCACCAACTGACAACACCGGCGGAAGCACCACAATTTTTACAAGCACTGGGCATTCGCCCTATGACAGGTGCCAAGACGAGAACGCCACACCGGCGGGATGTCGCCAACATAGCACCGTTCACCCCATCGGGACAGGCAGCCCAAGAAGGAAGCAGCACTGTGCACCCACCGGTTCTTAACGTGGGGGAAAAACTATCCGTCACAAGGAACTAGTAAAGGCACCAGCCGGATTTATAGCACGCTGACTTATGCAATGTCCTCCCCCATTTGTAAACAATTTCATGTATAATTTGTATGCCTGATATACATTTCAATGTCATTTTCTTTTTGTACCTAATGCCATGTTATAGGCTAGCCATCTAGTCCGCAGACCGCGGCAGCTCAAAAATACTTACCACTTAATACACAGAGACCGCACGACACTCCGACCTCGCAGACCCTTCAACTTGGCACAACCTACAGGGCACCCGGGCGACATCTTAAGGCCATAGACACAAGTGGCACATACCTTCACTGCGAACCCCCCCCAGACTCCGGGGTTAAGGAGCCTTAATATATGTAAGCCCCTATAACGCCTCTAGCCACCACACTGGAGATCCAGACCCAGGCTTAACTCACCTAACTTGAAAAATGCACACAAAGCATCTCTACGCATATGTTTAGTTATAGCGCCTGAGCCCGGAAGCGCTGCTGTTTCCCCTACATGTTAGCCTCCTTTGCTCACTAATCTAGCACCTGATATCACAGCAGATATGCCAACATGCCTGTTTCAGCCGGTTATTAACCTACCTTGAGATTGTAAATTATGGCACTAAACTTAGGCGCTGTGGCTCTTGCATATATGCCTAACCTGTTACAGTTCAGTGCTTTCTGAACAAGAGGCAGTATCTCTCGCCTGCACACTATTACACTCTTAACAAGCCATAGCAGTGTACTATGCCTGTCTTTATCATTTTAAAAAATTGTGCAGTCTACTCTTTTTAGACATGTAACCTTGGACATCTCCTCAGTTACCAAGCAATGTCGTGATCACTGAAATCCTGTATTTTATTTTTATGCACAACAATAATAATAAAAAAAAAGATAGCCAAAGAGAGCAAAACCAACCCCAAAGGATTCTTTAAGTACATAAATTCTAAAAAAAAATAAAAATGAGAGTGTAGGTACACTAAAAACTGAAATGGGGGGTGTTAGTTAATGAAGACCAGGAAAAGGCAGGAATTTTAAATAACTATTTCTCCTCCGTATATTTTAAGGAAGAACCCATGGCAATAGATGTGCAAATGATTTCTGCTAAAAACTTGCAGAATAATTGTAATTGGTGAACTCAAGACAAGGTGCTGCAGCAACTAAAGAAAGTTAATATGAACAAAGCTCCAAGGCCTGACCGTATTCATCCATGAGTACTTAAGGAACTAAGTGTAGAAATAAGTGAACCTCTATTTTTAATCTTTCAAGATGCTTTTCTTTCAGGAAGTGTTCTGGAGTATTGGAGGAATGCAGATGTGGTTCCTATATTCAAAAAGGGTTCAAAACCTTTGCCTGGAAATTATAGACCTGTGAGCTTAACTTCTGTGGCTGGGAAAATATTTGAAAAATTATTAAGGGATAATATTCAAGAATTCCTTGAGAAGAGCATGGTTATCAGCAAAAATCAGCATGGTTTTATGAAGCACAGGTCAAGTCAAACTAACTTGATTGCGTTCTACGTAGAAGTAAGTTGAAGTATAGATCAGGGTGTTGCAGTGGATGTGATCTATTTGGATTTTGCCAAGGCATTTGATACAGTTCCACACAATAGATTAGTGTTCAAACTCAAGGAAATCGGTCTAGATGAAAATGCTTGTTCTTGGGTAGAACATTGGCTTAAAAATAGAGTACAAAGAGTTGTCATTAATGGTAAATTTTCAAGCTGGACAGAGGTGGCAAGTGGTGTCCCTCGGAGTTCTCAGGGACCCCATTTAACATGTTTATAAATGATCTTGAAAAAAGGCATTGAAAGTCATGTTTTAGTGTTTGCAGATGACACAAAACTCTGTAAAATAATACAATGTGAGCAAGATATTACTTTGCTGCAGAGGGATTTAGATAGACTGGGAGACTTGGCACTCAAACGGCAGATGAAATTTAATGTTGAAAAATGCAAAGTTATGCACTTTGGTGTAAAGAATGCACAAGTAACATATACCCTTAATGGAAACGAATTCTGGATAACAACACATGAAAGGGACTTGGGAATTGTTATAGACAACAAACTATGCAACAATATGCAATGTCAATCAGCAGTGGCTAAAACCAGTAAGGTAATGTCATGCATGAAAAAGGGCATTCATTCTCGGGACAAGAATATAATTTTGCCTCTTTATAAATCACTGGTTAGACCACATATTGAATATGCTGTGCAATTCTGAGCACCTGTTCTAAAGAAGGATATTATGGCACTAGAAAAAGTGCAGAGGCGGGCTACAAAATTAATAAAAGAAATGGAACATATCAGCTTTGAAGAAAGGTTAAATTTAAACTTATTTAGTTTAGAAAAACAACGCCTGAGAGAGGATATGATAACATTATACAAATATATTTGGGGCCAATACAAACCATTGTGTGGAAATCTATTTACAAACCGGACTTTACATAGGACACGAGATCATGCGTTTAGACTGGAAGAAATAAGATTTTGTCTATGGCAAAGGAAAGTTTTTTTTTTTTTACTGTACGAACAATAAGGATGTGGAATTCTCTGCCTGAAGAAGTGGTTTTATCAGAGTCCATACAGATGTTCAAACAGCAACTAGATGCATACTTGCAAACACAGAATATTCAAGGATATAATCTTTCAATGTAGGGTAAGAGCTTCTTGATCCAAGGATAAATCTGACTGCCATTCTGGGGTTAAGGAGGAATTTTTTTCCTGGCTTGTTGCAAAATTGGAAGTGCTTCAAACTATTTTTTTTTGCCTTCTTTTGAAAAAACAAATGAGGAAGGCTGAACTTGGACGCAAGTCTCTTTTCAGCTATGTAACTCTGTATTTCAGCTTTTGATCTTGGCTTCGTTTGAGACTATTCTTCATTCTATACTCCTTGACCCGGCTTTGGCTTGCTCGCTTGAATTTGTCTACCCCATGTTCTTATATGTTAGTCCGGCCATTCTAAGGTCCGGTATACGTCACCCTTTATCTACATTCTGCATGTTGGATCCCAGTTTATTATTGACACATTGCCTCTCTCTCTCTCTTCTGTAAGAACAATACCACCACCCTAATATATTTTTTCCTTTTTCTGTAAGAGACGAATCTATGATCAGCTCTAGAAACTAAATTCTTCTAGTGGGAACCAATTCTGATTTGTTTTTTGAAGATTTAGAATCCAGCCATGTTTGAATCTGCTTGGGTATCCTGAAGATGTTTGGTTGCTGCGTCTGCTTTCAATAGCTAATTGTCCTCTGCTCATCTGTTGTAATGTCGTGCCTCTCTTTGAAAACCTCCAGTAGTCTTCTCCCTCCTGTCTTGGCACCAGCATTTTTGCTCCTTTTGCTTTCCCACAAATTTGCCATTATCTTTGTTCTTGTAATCAAAATTATGTCTTTAAAAGCTACAAGAACTAATCATGCAAACAAAATCTCTGAAAGAAGAGCTTTTTTTTATTGAAGAATTTCTTCCAAAGATCCTCCTTTTCTTCTTCTGGAAACGTGGTTTCCCTTCCGCCATCTGTTTTAGCAGATCTAATTGGGAACCAAGCAAAGAGTCTCCCCTGTTTGAATGGCATATCACATAACGAGTGCTTGGATGTAGAGTCCACAGACCATTCTCTCAGCCAGACCCCCCTCTTCCTGCTACTGTAGATAGTCCCATGGATTCCTCCACCACTTTAAGAGCTTCGGAAGTAGAGTCTGACAAAAAAAAAAAATTAGAAGTCATTCTGAAATATTGCAGAAGTTTGACTTTCGATTCTCACATTTTTTTTTTTGTTATCCAGTGAGACCAAACAGGCATGTTGGGCCCTAAATATGGAATATCCTGTAATTAAGGTCTTTCTCTGTGCAGCATTGGTAAGAATTTTTTTTCTTAAAGTAGTTTTTTTCTTGTCCATAGCATCCTTTAACATGCTTAAGTCTCCAATAGGCATAATTCCTGCTCAATTGGTACATCGAATTTTCTGAAGGACTCATTATCAGAGCCACTGGCAGAGACACACAAGACAGAAATTCCATCTGATGGAGTGTGTAATATGGATAGAGAGTCTAAAAGACCTAGATGTAGATTTTTCAGGATAGATGCAAAAGCCTTCACTATTCTGTTTAATTGTAAATCCATCAGATCTAGCACAGAGTGTCGGAATCTTTTCACAATTCCCTAAAAATCCTGGAAGAGATGGACCAGCTGGATTGTCTGATATGAGATTATTCTCTGCCCAGGTCATGATGCTGTCACAGAAACCTGTAAGGAAATGGAACAAATTCCATCTTGTTTGATGATGTAAGCCACTGTTGCTCATTGTCTGATCTTATTTAGACATCCTGCCCTTTTGATTTTGTAGCCTTATTGGATCAATGACGGCACCCAGAGGTCTGCCTTATAAAGGCCTGGTGTCGAAATTTTGTTGCTCAGCATTTCTGACCATTTTATTTCTGACATTTATAAAGCGTTAATATATTCCACAGTATTTTACAATTGGTTATACTTGTTCTTGTCTTTGGATCTTGACTCGAATGACTGTCTCTGGGATCCTTAATACCCTGATGTACAAAATGAAAATAAAGTGCATCTATAGTAAAATTAAAAAAACAAAAACATTTATTTGAAAGGTAAATCACACAGGGAATGTTTAGAAGCTGTATCAGCTATTCAGTTTTTTGGCCATATCACACTTTGAGCTACCATGGCAAGGTCCATATCTGTAGCAGAAAGCTTAAAGGATTCAGAGGTGGCATAAGAAATTTAACGTTGTGGACGCTTGATTGAAGACTTATTTTAAAGATTCAAGTGAGCATCGCTTGAGCTTAGGGTACTGATGCCTGCATAATAAGTACTTTACGCTACAATGATGGACTGGACTCCGCTTTTATTATCCATTGCATCCTGGAAGCTAGCAGTGTCCCCTTCAGGTAAGGTGGTCTCTACTTCATTTGGCAATGGTACAGCAACCTTGTGTAAGTCTCCTAGCTTGTTCTTTTCTTCTTTCAGGGAGAAGATAGTCTTAAAGTGCTTGGTGATAAAAAAAAATGCTTAGCAGGAGTTTGCTACTCTATGGACATGGTTTTCTTAAAAGTTTGGATAGAATGGAAAGGCCTTAGACTTTTTGGGTTTCTGCATTTCATCCTGATTCATCACGCAGTTAACTTCATTATTAAGCTTGAGAATATTTGTCTGAAACAGATCTCAGAGGAGTTAAGGAAGCCCTTCCGAGCAGAAGAACTTTCAAAGTTAGATTCTTGATCTTTTCTTTGACTATAGTACCACTAGAGATCTATGTGCTTGGGAAGACTGCATAAATAGCAGAGCAGATGTTTAGAAAGGTCTGCTGTAAATTGGACTTAAACCAATTGAAGAAGGTAGACATTTCAACCCTCATCTTCATCACAGGTCTCTTTAGAAAAAAGCACGTCATACTCATGGCCCACAATGAATATCTTTGCGGCCCGGCGAGCCATGAGTTTGATCTCCCCACATTGAAGTCGCCGACTCTGCTAAAATTTATCCGGCCGGGGAGGAGAGGTCGCTGGCGGCACTGAGGGAGCTCAGTCTTCCAGCTCCCTCGCGCCCTCTGTAGTGATGCCAGAACATGACATCATTCCGGCACCCAGTATCCCTAAACTGCGTGCGTGAGGGAACAGGAAGGGAGAGCTCCCAAAAGAGATCCCCAGACCAGCTCCCAAACGTTGGGAACAATAAATAAAATGTCTGTGCAAGAATGTGTAAATGTGTCAGAAAGAGTGTGTGTTGGTTAGTGTCGCGATGGCCTTGGCTAAATAGTGGAGGACCTGGAAGTGCACAGAGGCAAGCAACGCCACGTCACATTCCGACATATCAATGTGCGCCACCTTCACAGAGTTTCAAGGAGTAGCGGTTGGAACCGCTTTGGCACATGGTGCAGACAGCGCCATTGGGGGTATACCAAAGGCTGGACTCCAGAGTCGCATACAGGCGGCGGATATGAGAGTAGAGTGTGCTTGTTGGCCATTTTTATTTTTTTTAAAACAAGGGCTGGGGTTTAGTAGAGGGGGGTGGGACTGGGATTTAGAACAGAGGAGAATGCTGTTTTTTTTCATAATAAACTTTTCAAAAACACACCTATGTTTCTATGAAAATGTAAGATTGTTTTTTTTTTGGCAGCCCAAAAACTTAAAAACCTTGTTTATTTGGCCCGTGCTAGTTTGACATGCTTGCTTTTTAGAACATACTATGTAAACTTCTTTTTGCAGCCCATTTGGTAAAGACCATAGAAGCCATAGGGGAAAACTGCTATGTCCTTTCAGAGATTTTGCCTTTTAACGGTTTTCCTTAGATTTTTATTGCATGGATCAGGGATGATGTGTACTATAGTTATTGCGGTCACCGAGGAGCTTGAGCACAGGACTTAATTTTGTATTTGGTAAGGGCCAATTGCAGGATAAAGAGACAGTGGTCTTTACCACTGCCTTGCCTTTCTCTACGCGCTTGACACTAGACTCCAGTGGATTGGACATACTGCAAATGTAATAAAATAAATGTGTAAGTACATAATAAAAGATTTAGTTTTAAGGCTTATAAAAGAAACCTTTCATACCATAATAAGCTCCACATTGTGCTAGATGGCATGTGAGAACACACCAAATCGTAACAACTACCCGATCGCCAGAGGCTTTTGCTGGGTATTTTAATAGTGCTGGACTCAGAATTCCAATTCAAATATTAGCACCAAATGCGCAGATCATTTCGCGCATAGCAGTCTTAAGTGGAACGGGACATCACCTGGACATGAGTTCTACCGTAAATACCTTCCAGCAGTGCACTCCAAGCCCACCCACACCACTTCCTGCATCCAGCAACAATTCCGCAAAGCCGATAAATAAAACACGCTCTCGGCATGTATTCCAGAGCTACACCAAGGCCTTACTGAGAAACATCGCTAACAAGCTGTCAGTGCAGGCAGGAATCCCCTCACTCCAGCTTTAAGAAGAGACTACCTGCTCAGTCAAGGATAGGAATAGAACCCAAGTTACAGTGGAGGTTTTCTAGGATATGGAGGGGTTTAAGAGTATCATTTTTAAATTCCCTCCAAAACACATTGTTAGAGTTTATCAGAATACATTTGAAAAGAGCTGCAAAGCGAGGCACTGCTCTATAGCTTGTATAACCTCTTTTCTCCGCTAGATGCTTTTTATTCTTTAACAAATTAAAATTCAGACAAGGCAAAGCCAAGACAAACATTGCAAGTGAAGAGAATCAGGAATATTGTTTCATTGTTCCAGGGCACTTCTAGTACCATAAGCACTACAATGCAATTAAGTGGCTATGGTGCTCTATGTGTTTCTAAAAACAATTCTATTTTCAATGAATAACAAAAACAAATACAATTAAAACACAAGGATTTAATAGGGTTAAACAACTGATTTATATTTAAGGTATCATAGGGTAACACTACCTGTCCTGTGCAAATGTTCTGCTTTAAGTATTATTTTACTATATCTTTTTAATAACATCTGTAATTCTTATGTGCTCAGACTACTTGACACAACATACAGCCTTGTTTTTTCACTGAACCAATATTGTATTAGGGCAAGTAGTTGCAACTTCTACAAATCTGTTTAGGGAGTGAATATGGTAAAAATTTCATCTAACCAAACTTGCAAAGGAACTGGGAGACCCCTCAGATTACAGATGTATTTTGGACAAATGCAATTAATGATTTAGGGCACATAAAGTGACTGCAGCTCCATCTCCTGGATGCAAGTGGAAGAGCATCACAATTGCCAATTTCTCTTTCCCCTGTACATTTGAATGTTTGGAGCATTACAGAAAATCAAAATCTAAATAGTTAAAAAAAAAAAAACTCCAAGCTATTTTATCCTTGTCTGGCTACAGATTTTCAAGTGGTAAATACAAGGACCTTACTATACTTGACACTGGATACAATAAAAATCTTTTTGGATAGAGGTGTTAAACAATTTTTTTTTTCCAGTGACATCACCGAAAGTAAATGTATTATTATTATATAATTATAATTATTTTGCCCTAAAAAATGGCTTGGAGTCAAAAGTTTGCCTCCCTCCTCTCCCCTAAAAACACACAAGTAGAATAAAGAATTTAAAAGGTGATATGTATCTCTTCTCTGCTTGTTGGACTATTGATTAAGATCAAGTAGAGCATTATGTAAATCTTTGAATTCCACCACTAAACTAGCTTTAAAAATTAATTTCAAATATGTTGGTAAAGTAAAGCAAAATATGCAACCGTTTTTGATGATTTCTATCATATCTAACGTGCAGATATTTCAGATAATGTCTGAAATATAGCAATAAATATATTATACATAATGACACACTGTAAAAAAAACAGATTCATTTTAAAGATTAGTTTATTTGATACGGGACAGAGCTGATAAAAAACAAAAAAATAGGAGGGTTGATAAGGACTTTTACATGATAATAAAACATCTCCCAGATTACAAATCAATACAAGTTTTTTTTTCTTTTCCTTTAGATTACTTTATTTCTTGGAATACACTTTTGAGAAGTGTAAAAATTGTAAATGAGGGTATTGCAGGCTTGTCCCAGAGAGACACAACTCCCAGATGTACATCAGTTATAAATTAGGGATGTATAGGTAAAAGGGAATTTAGAGGACAGATTTAAATTATTGGCCAAATGTTGTATGAGACAGGGTCTAGGAATAGGGATTCGGTAGAAGACCACTGCCTGATTCATATACTTTAAATACTTCTAATAAATTCTGAGCAAGTTCCTGCTTGTGAAAAGATCACTGCTACAGCAGTCTCCGTCAAATCCACAGCATTACAAAAAGAAAGCCTGAGGAGGGGGATGTTCTAAAGGGAAATGCTTTAGCCCCATCATTTGGGACGGCTACTTTTACTGATCTGTGGCACACGGGGGCGAGAGGCATCTGGTACCTGGTTCTATGAGAGTGCAAACCATGCATCTGAACACATCCTGTTTCTCTACTGAAGCTGCTAGTTAAGGCTTCATAAAATAGATTTGATTTGCATTAACATATTCTGCTAAAAGGAGGTAATCATAATCCCCAACCAGCAAGTGTTTTCTATGGACCCGTTTGCTGGAGATTAACCATAAAAGCTCTGTGAGCCACGATAATTAGGAGTTTTCAGACTCATGTGCGCCCCTGCAAAGCAATGGTTTTCCTGGCTTAAAAAAAGGTAACCTTTTTACAATAGGGAGGAGAGAGTGCAGCTTAGGAAGCTGTTACACCAAGAGATGCTTTCTGCAGCCTTCACTGTCAATTAATGTGTTGACTGCGTTCCAGTGCTCCCTTGCCACACACTGCATTTCCACCCCCTCCTATCCTGCACACACACGGTAAAAAGCTGCAGCAGCATGCAAGAGAAGAAACAAACAGCTCATTGTGTTTCTAACTGAAGATCACTGTCTGAAGTGTGGAGGTTGGATTGCATTTAGATTTAAAAGGGACAGAGAGCCAGAAGGGATGTTGCTTTTTCTTGCCTGGCATATGCCAATGACTGTCATGGAACATGGCAGAAGGGAAAATAAAGGTAATGGGGGTGAAAGGATTCCATGAACAGGGATATTCCGCAGATTATTCTGTGTAGTCAAACTCCTCCTCTCCATCCACGGATAAAGCTGCGTACTTACTCGCTTGGCTGAATTTCTGCAGGAAAGGAAGGGGAAAAAAAAAAGTTTTAATAAAAAGGTATTGTTGTTGATTGGTTATTCACATCATGTACGTGCCAATATTTGGTAGGGGAAAAAAGTGACACCCCGTTTCATCAGCTGAAACGTTCATATGTACATGGTCTAAAGTACTCTGTGTTACACTTTAGGTGTTACTTTGCAAATTTTGCAAGAAATTTGGACATACTTTAACTCCCCATTGTCCCATACAAATAATTCTTAAACTTCCACACAGTAGTACTGTTAACACAACAATAAAATGTAAATTAAAAGCACACTTTTCCAGAGAAGGTGAAGTAGACTGTCAGAGGGATGGGTTTCATAGTTCTAAGGAAGATTTTCTTACAGCTGCCTGCGTCTCCACTCGAATTGTATCCATATCGCTCTTTTCGTCTGCATTGCGTTTGTCTTTCCTATCAATGAAACAAGATTGTAAATTAAAGATACAAATTGAAAGAGATCTTGTAATAGATAGGATACACTAGCATAAAATATTCTTTAAATTTAACCCCTTAAGGACCTAACTTCTGGAATAAAAGGGAATCATGACATGTCACACTTCATGTGTCTTAGTAACCGCACAGATTTTTCTTGGCAAAGTTAATGGAAGTCTGAGATACAGTAAAGTTTATTTTTATCCATTTGCTGCAGATGAGTGTACCAAATTATTCCACTTCCCTTTAATGGATGAAATGGAGTATGGAGGTAGTAATGTAGTTATCTTACATTCAAAGACTATCATAGAAAGCATGGCGGGCAAGTACTAATTAAAGTAGGCGGTGTACAGTTTTTTTTTCCTTTTCAATAAAATAAAGGTAAGGGTGAAAAACAACATTCTTCATTAGAATTTCTTACTTATCAGGTGCTCTGCCACGGTCTGCCATGTTACGTCCACCTGTTCTTGATGCATGATCCATATCATCTATTTTGTTCTCATCTTCTAAAGAAAGAAAGGGAAAAAACAAAAAAAAAACAAATACAAGTTTATTTTTATGGCGACCACATAAATCCCTGTGCACACAGATGGCAAACATTTGTTTTTCTTTTTACCTCTTCGTTGCACAGTCCCAGGTGACCATTTGTCTGAATCAGACTGCCGTTCTCCTCCACTGGAAAGAAACAAACGGGTTAAGTCACAGCTATGAGAAGATATATAAACAAAAGTAGGTTGACATGTCTTCTGCCAGAATATTTGCCCTCTGCAGCCAAAGTTCTTATCATGAGAACATTCTTTTTAATTTTTCTTGGGGCAAAATGTTCTCTTGTATCAGAATATTATGAAATAATTTGCCACTGAAATTAGAGTGCAAAATAATTGACAGCTCAATTATATTAAAAGGTGTGAATTTACATACATGTTCATTGAAAATACCCTTAACAAGGTTGATAACGCACGTGTTATTTCATAAATTGTAGATCAAAATAGCCAAACTAGAACAACACCTTGATGAATTTTAACATTTTAGCTGTTTTTTGTCCAACTCTACAAATTCACTTTGAGTTCTCAACAAATCATACTATAATGAATAACAAATCTGCTTTTGAATACATTATAAATATTCTCACACATTTACTCAGCGTTAAGAGACTCACCCTTTGGAAGATTCTGAACTGAGTGATCGTGTGGGGGTTGTTGTACTGCGTTTGACCCAAGCATTTTCTTTAGGTGGTGGGGCTGGCATGACTTTCAAAGGGAGCGGAGAATCTGATTTGGGGCCTTTTGAGCTAGGAGAATGAACATCCTCGTCTTTACCAAATACTTCATTTTCCACTGATTTTTCACTCTCCCTCCTCCTTGAGACTGCGATAATTGATTATAAACATAGATTACTTGTTGATTAATCAATTTGTTTTTTGCATGCAATATATCAGACGGACACATATGGTACGCAGTAAATGTTAATGCCTTGCGTCAAAACACCAAATTATATACTCACTTCGAGAGGAAGTAGAGGCAGTGTTGCCGGTTTGAGAAGATTCACTCCCAGTCCTAGAACGTTCCTGAGTATCTTCACTACGCCAACTAGGGTGTCTGTAAATGAGAGGTAGGATAAATTAATTTATTGCTGGAATAATCTTAAACAGGAATGGAATGGAATTTAGATCACTGAATAAAAAAAATTAAAAACCACTGATACCATGTGTTATACACACATACATAGTGTTCAAGTAGAAATTGTAGCTGTATTAATCCAGTGTTGTAGATAAAAAAAAAAAAAATATATATATATATATATATATATATAAAAACAAACAAACAAACAAAAAAAACTCGTATCTTGTAAAACCTTTTTTCCATTTCTGAGCAAGAAAACACATAGAATTCAAAGTTGTGATACAGGGGTTAAAGAGACATGAGTGCAGATAAGACACAGGTTTGATAGAAACTATACAACATTCTTGCAGAGGGTCCTAAATATCTTTCTGAAGATCAGAGTGAGGTGGGAGGTGAATAAAAAAAACAAAAACAAGCAGGTACACTTTATACATGTCAGCATTAAAGGATCATACTCCCGCACATCCAGGAATGTGGTATACATGACTCAATGCACCAAATGCCACCTAGGATGCTACATTAGGGAAACCACACAGCAATTAAATGGCAGAATTAATATGCACAGACACTCCATTAAACACCACAAGAAGAATCATACTGCACTCCTGTGGGACACCATTTTACCCAGCCTGGCCACTCAATGAAGGACCTAAAAATCAAAGTACTGAAAGGTGGTTTGAAAAATACCCAAGAAAGAAAAACTTTTGAAGCCAGAATGATCAGACTGTTTAACAGCAAGAATAGAAGACTGAATATTGATTTGGGTTTCCTGTCCCACTACCAACACTTTACATGAACACTCGCTCACATTATCTTAATGTTCTGTTATATGCATCAACACTTTAAAACGCATTCCAATATGTTTATTCTATCAACATACGAAGTACTATGTGTAGACCTATGCTTTCCCATACTCTGATTCAATGCATCTCTATAATGAAATGCTGATTGTCCAGGATTGTGTTTGGCTTGTGCTGGCCCTGCCCCTGATCTGCCTCTGCCCTACGACTTCTGTCTCTTACCAAAACCACTTCTGAAAGGGAAGATATTTCAGACCATAGATGGGATTCAGGTAAATACGACGACAGCATATGGTGACTCCAACAAAGGATTTTGCAGAGTGTTTTGAATAGTGGAAGAGACGCTGTGGGAAGGGGAGGGGACTATGTGAGGTCCCAAGGTGCCTACTTTGAAAGGGACTGAGGAATCATTATCCTATGTAGAATGTTAATTCTAAGTGTATTTATATATATTAATTATATATTGGGGGACCTGCCTGACAACCAAGGCAGAAATTCCAGATAATGTAATTTGCCTGCCCTATATTTGACCCTGTAACGTTCCAAAACACCATGAAACCTGTACATGGCTGATTATGTACTTGTGGAAAAGAACAGCATTCAAATGTATATTTTAGTTGCCGTCAAACAGCATGACATTTACAGTTACAATGCCACGCAGAACTTGGAAATAATATATCTTATGTGAAATGGAAGCCCTATTCTCCTGAACTAAAGTACATAAATAGGCGTGGGTGCATTTAATATAAAAGAGGTAACTTATGGTTTAACAGACATTTTCTCAAATTCTAGGTTTTGTTTTTGTTTAGAACTTCATACCTCCATACTTAAGGTGTTAATTGTTCCTAGAATAATCAACACCTCCCTTTTTCCTCCCAAGTGTACTAAAAGCTTGAAAAGTTCAGCTATATCACATTTGTGAGACTAGGTACTATTCACTTCAATAGGAAATAACAGAGCAGTGAAGTAATACACAAAATTTCAATAACTGTCCAAACACTTTGCATGGGAGACCAGATATTCAGTAAAAGACCTGATTTAGATCATGGTTGAAGTATGTGTTGCAATAAGATAAGAGTCCAAGTGATATTGACTGAAAACACACCTTCATTTTATGGCAAATTCTAAAAGCCAGCAAAAATGCACGCGGTTATATATGCATTTAAAATGCAACAAAGTTTTGGGACTACCAGGCATTTCATGCAACATTACAAATATGCCTATGAATGGCCAAGAATGACAAACATGCAATGATTACAAATGTGATGGTTAAAAACTACCAGATTGTGCATTGGTCATGTGTTTTTACCAAACTCTCTGCTCATCCTATGACATCCTGTAACACTTATAAAAGTGATGTAGTTTCAGGCAACAAAACTGCTCGAATTTCTAAGGACTCACCTTTCCCTTGGTTTTCTGTCTAGTTGTCTTGGCCGATCATCATCCAAATGGCGTTGCTGCAGCTTCTCTTGCTCTTTTTGCAATCGTTCTTCGACCTCACGTTCACGAGCAGCAGTATCCACTGGCTTAGCACCACCAAAGATTGAGGCTGCACGACTGGATGGTGTAGACCCACCACTGGATTCTTCCTCTTTAGGTGCAGTACGTGGCTTAAGGTTCAACTTCGGTCTCTGCGTAGGACCTGCTGTGGAAGCTATGACTAGGTTATGTGATAGCTACATAAATACCAATAAAAATAATAGCTAAACAATGCCAATATATTATTTCCAAATGATAACGATCATTATTTGATATGTAAAACTGCTTTTTTTAAAAGTTATTTTCCACTGTTTTCAGATTACAATGTTGCTATATACAGATGTATGCTTATATTGGTTAACTAGAAGTACATCATTTTTGGTTATTTACATTATCTGAAAAACTAATGCATTGACTGAAAAAAAAAAAAAAAAGTCTAAGAAAGTTGAGCAGCTACCAAATGTGCTTATAGCTCCATCTGACAATATTTTAAAGACACTAATTTAATGGGATACAATAAGTCTTTTAGCCATGGCCTGTTCTAACGATGGCAACAGAGTTCAATGCTTACCTCTCTCTTCACGCCTGGTGTCATCATTCCTGGAAAAACCATTCCATTTGTCTGATCGGTCATCTCGCCGCTCCTCATATCTATCACCGTAACGATCTCCTCCACCTCTGTAATCATCATCCCTCCGATAACCACTGCCAAAGGCTCTTCTGCTGCTGCTGCTGCTGCTGCCGCCGCCGCCACCGCCACGTGAATCGTACCCTATGTGGACAATGGTGAAGAAAAATAAAAAATGTGTTCGTGGCACAGAATTGTCAGGGTTCTTGGATGTATATTTTCAATATTATTTGATATGATTCATTAAAGTGTTTACTGCAGTCCATTCTAGGTTGAATAGGTTAGTCTTGAACTTTACCTGCATGAAAATCCCTGTAAAATACTACTGAAACGACGTCCCTCACAACAATGACAATGCATGTGTTACCTTTAATTTTCAGAAAATCAACCCTTAAAGCCCTACTAGCCAATTCCTGTCACGTACAAATCATGTCAAACCCACAGACATTTGATTATAATGGTAATTTTATGAAGCTCCGTTGCTAAAATGTCAGTTTTCTAAAACCCATGAGCTGGATATTAGGCAATTTCAAATCTATGTGATGATAATTCCTCCCCCCATCCTCTATGGTAATATTTCAGATCCAGTCTGAAACATTGCAAGATAGAGAATTTGTATGTAAGGCATCAAATAAAGCTCATTTAAATCTTTCAAAAACAAAAAACACCGATAGTGAAGGGGTTAAGCAGATACATTTATGTAACATGTGAAACATGCGTGATAAACATTTACCTCTATCATAATCACGACGATCACGGTCATCATATCGTTCCCTTCCTCTGTCTCTATCAAAACCACCACCACCACCACCATCTCTACGTGGGCCGTCCCGGTACCGATCTGATTCATATCGATCAGTACGATCACTACGATATCCTATATTTAGTTCAAAAGGAAAAAGGATGATGAATGCTACCTGGAATTCTTAATTCACTTGTATTGTAAACATGCACCAGAAAGTACAAACAAAAAAAACAACAACATACGGTCTCCATAGCTATCATCACCACCACGACGCGGAGGATAATCATCAGCTGTGTCTGAAGTAGGACGCGCTCTCCAATCAGAAGAATCAGTCTTGTCAGAGTCTCTATTACGATCACGATCCCTGCCAAAGGAGCGGTCATCCCGATCTGTCGATGTGAAAGCAATAGGAGGAGAAATCAGCATTACAGTGCTATAATCCTTTGGTAACATGTATATTATGGGATTTCCAAGATGGAAGGTAAAGGGCATTTGTACACTGGAAGGGACAGGAGCCCCACAACGTGTGTCTTTCATATGCTCTTCAAATAAAAGCATGGCTCCACAAATGAGCCTTATATACTAAGCTATGCATTGTGAAACCTTTTTTGCTAAATGTAGTCAAGTGGGAAAAAAAGACAAAATGACTATCCCCATTTGGCCTTAAAGGGGCAGCTTAAAGAATACTCTTGGGGCAGTCTCATTGTTTCTCACTTGGGAAGATTATGCGTGTGTGGGGTCGAAATCTGATAACATTAAATGCTTATATAAAAATATTACCATAACAAAATGTAATGTGTAAAATGGGAGTAGAAAGATGCGCAGCACCAAGATAACCAGGGTACAGTAAAACAGTAACAAAATTAGTGGACAACATGGGTGTCGGAAAGGATCTTAGAGAGGGATTGAAAAAAGCAAAAAAAAAACAAACAAACCTTTATCTTGTGCTTGGTCAGCAATGTCTACTCTTATCCGTCTGTTCCCAAGAGACTGCAAAACAAAAAAAAGCGATAGAATATAAAAAGTGACATTTTTGTACCTTTTATAGTGATAAAATTATTTTTCAAGTTATACGCATCTCTTGCACAGACCCCAAGCCTAACATATACAATACAAAGTTCTCACACCGACCAGCTGGAGTGGTGTCTTTTTTTTGCTTCTATGAAAGATATAATATTAAATATAAAAAAGTAGTAGAAGCGTAGAGAATCCCTATGCACCAAAGTCTTGCATTATTGCAGCAAAGTGGACAGCCAATAGGAATATACCGCAATCATGCCGCACCTTATTTAAAATAAATAGCACAAAGTCAGCCATTCTGAGCCTCCAGTCAGCTGGTATCAAGTTGTTAATTTGGGCTAAGCCATCTACATGCATAGACTGCCACTCTACTGATAGCATACAGCCAGAATCACAGATCGAACTTGGCTGAGTGTAGACGGACATCAGCCACGGTATTGTGGACATCATTTTATGGGACAGACCCATAGACCTAAAGACACACTCCCGATTGGTACTTCTCTTCCGATTTAGGAAAGTGTCTTTCCTGTCGCTGCAGGCAGACCTCTAAATTGTGCATTGCAGGAACTTTGGTGGCAAGTACCAGTGGGGATTTTTAGTTCAGCTGCAACATGTGGCTTCATGAAACTATATCAATTAGCAAATAGACAGGCAAGCAGAAGATTATTTTTTTATGAATAGGGTGACTTATGGCTGCAGTACTGGTCCTCTCATGAAGCAATGAAAGTTATTGATGCAATGTAGCTGCTGACAAAGCAGAAACATAGCGATGGTGCAGATGATCATGAAACTGACATTGCCATCTTAAAAATTTACATTTCAGGACACTGCTCTTACTTCTAATCTTCCTTTACCAACTAAACAGCTCAGCACATCTCTGCTGAACCCTATATCAGAGTTAGCAAGTGGATAACTAGAATGTGACAGGGTCTACTTCCAAATGTTAGAAGTAACAGAATCAGAACAACATTGACAATTATACTTGTCATGTTCTAAACAGATATTCTAAGAACCATAACCATTACAGCAGACTGTAGTTAAGATGCCAGGAGACCCCTGGTGCCATCCCAGTGTAAGTTGTCATACAATTCACAGACTTTATCTGTCTCTGTTGGGCTCATGCAGTCATTCTATTCACACTCCTGCATTATCATAGAAACACAGACAGTAAGGACCATGAGTGTCTGACAAAGACGAGTGTCAAATTATTCATGAACCTACAGCTTACACTGGAATGGTGCTAGCAAGATCCTCGCAGCATAACTACTATAGAACACTGTACTTGGTATGGTGTTTGGTATGTTCCCTAAAAAGGTTTAATCAAAGTCTGTTGATTCATCAGACAACGATTAAGTGAATGTCGTGTACACCTTTATTTCATCCACATGTTTATCATCCACATTGCTATGTAGTTTGTGCTTCTGGTAGAAAAATGTAATAAAGCACCTACTGTACTTCAACATTCTAAATGCAAACATTGCATGTACGGAGGCCCGGCTCTTGTCTTCATCAGAGCTAAATGTTTCTAGTCCTAAACTAGGTCTATAAATGTTTAATTCCTTGTCTTAAAGGGACACTATAGTCATCAGAACAACTACAGCTTATTGAATTTGTTCTGGTGAGTAAAATCATTACCTTCAAGCCTTTTGCTGTAAACTCTGCCTTTTCAGAGAAAATGCAGTGTTTACATTACAGCCTAGTGATAACTTCACTGGCCACTCCTCAGATAGCTGTTAAAGATTCCTTTCTGGGTCATGGCTCCCTAAAATGCATCCAAACATTCAGTGTCTCCTCCCTCTGCATGCAGACACTGAACTTTCCTCAGATTCATTGATTCAATTCATCTCTATGAGGAGATGCTGATTGGCCAGGGCTGTGTTTGAATCATGCTGGCTCTGCCCCTGATCTGCCTCTGTCAGTCTCAGCAAATTCTATGAGGAAGCATTGTGACCACTTCTGATGATGTCAGCAGACTGCTTGTTTTTCTGAGTCTAACAGCATGCAGAGTTATAGCTTAAGGCTTGAATACAGTAAGATTTTTACTATATTTATGGAGGCATGAGGGGCCCAGGGGGCTAGATGGTGGTTTTAACACTATAGGGTAAGGAATACATGTTTGTGTTCCTGACCATATAGTGATCCTTTAATTTATTGTTTTACTTTATTAAAAAACATTAAAGACCGCAAAAGTATAAAGTCTGAAGTGAAAAGCAAATAACGTGTTTAAATAGATTTGTCTGTGCCAGCATGAAGTCTAGAATAATCAGTATCCCCTTTGAAGTGACACAAAGATATGCTTTGTGGCTTTACATTAAGCCAGCTCAAAGAGCTGTATCAAAATCCTTTTGCAAGGTGGACTGCAAAGAAATACAAAGTTTTCAAGAACACTCAGACAGTGAAAGCAACACAGGCTAGATTCTGAAGAGATCTGCTGTTTAGCCCATGCATCTAAGGTTTACTTTCTACAACCAGTGCTCACAAACAAAAGGAAAACAAAAATTGAGTGCTCATCTGCTACGCTCAACATTTTTATGTCTTGAGAGCCCTTGGGAGCAGTGCAAGAGAGATAAAGAATGATAGAGGTTTTGTAGGCATGTTAAGTGACTGTACCATGCTGGGTCACTGAAACAAATCAGCTAAAAGCAATACAGAATAGATTATTGAATTACAGACCTGCAACAGGTCCAACTTGTTTCACTACCAAATTGAGTCAGTATGGATATTCACTTGGAGAGCAGAACAAAACAGTGTAGAATTTGGAACCAGACCAATAGTTTAAGAATGTGTACTACACAAAATAACTCACTTTTGGTTAGTTGCAACCATATAGAAAGTTAAATTGGCAACCAAAATAGGAAGCAAAACTCAAATGTTCTATATTTCAGACAGGTATGCTGCATTTTACTGCCAATGATATGGTGTCACTTAAAGAACAGCTAAAGGATAATGGTGATTTAAAGCGGACAAATCCTGCTCCAAACTGAAGCATTATTTGAGTACTAAGTAATGTACAATTCTTCAAAGCTTGCAGCTGAAAATGAGTGGTGACTTACTTCTTCATTCAGGCTCAGAGCTCGTAGTAGAGAGTCCAAGTCATCAAATTCCGCATAGCCAAATCCTTTTAATCGCTCTGGGTTGCTGGGCTCCCGTGGCAGACGAACAGCACTAATCTAAATTTGAATACAAAGTATTGGCATCAGCAGAAAATTTAAAGCAGGATTATTGTGCAAAATTAATTTGTCCATGTTTCAGTGATTTTAAAATATGTGCTATAAAATACACTATTGACATACAGAAACTTAATTATTGTTCACTTCTTCGTTTAAATAACATAAGTACTTCAAACTGACTGAACAAAGTATCTCTTCCAACAAATCTAAAGACAATGCTAAATGCCATTTTCAATGGTGTGCACAGTTTTTAAGATGAGCCATCTATATTTAAAGTAAAATTAAGAGAATTACTTAAAATAGAAACAATACAAGCGAAAACAGTCTGTGCATTCAGTATATCAAAACCACTTTTCAATATGACCAGTCTTTTAGAGACCATTGCTCCATTTGGAACTATTAAGTGCTAGTCAGATTATCAAATGAGTAAACTTTGCATTTCACAAGGACATGTGTTAACATAATGGATATCTCTCATATGCAAATACATAAAAGGAGTTGATGTACATTTATGCAGCATATCAACAAAGCTTACATTGAGTCCCCTGAAGAACTTCTGAATAGATTCCTCTGTCACATCGTAAGGAAGGTTCCCAAGGAAAGCAGTGAAAGGAGGGCTTTTGGGCAGACGACTTCGGTCAACATTAGGTTCACGGGCAGCTCGGGGTGCAGTGGGCAAGATAGAGCGATCAATCGGAGGGGCTCGGTACATATCATCATCATTACTTTGCCATGTTGTGGAAACTGGAACAAGTATGAAATTCAACAAATTAAGAGAGATACTCAAACCTTAATTTTCACATGGAACACAGACATGCCTATCTATCTAAACTTTGAGCGAATGATTCAACTTATATATTGTTTACAAAATGTTAATCTTTTAGTTCAGCTGTAGCCTTAAAAGGGACACAAAGCACCAAAAACAGCATCTTAAAGAGGTGGTTTTGGTGCATGGACCCTGTCCCAATTTTGTCCAGGCAATGTAAACCATTATGAGAAGCATTTAACTGAAGTCGGGCAATTGCATCATATATCTTATGTCCCAAATGTTACTCTACAAGAAGCATGGGATTTAATCCTAAAGTCTTCAGCAGAGGCAAATGACTGACCAGGCCCTGATATTAGCGCATAATATATATATATATATATATATATATATATATATATATCCACGATGAGCAGTAACCTAAACCTCAACATTATATACAGTAGGTTTGTAATCTATATAAATTTACATCTTCCCCATCCCCCAATTTTTTAGACACCTAGGAAAATGTCAAAACAAACCTCCATATAATAAGAGCATTACTCACCATCTCCCTCCAAGTCATCGGTCTCATCTGCCCAACTGACAGGTTTTGGGGCATAGCCACTTCCACCACCAATGCTGCTGCTGCCGCCGCCGCCGCCACCGCCACCACCACTACCAGCACTGTTCCCTTCATCTGCCAAAAAGTCGGTAAGGGTCAGAGTCTTCCCCTTCTTATTCTTCTTCTTAGCTGTAGAAAAACAAAAGTAAACGTTGAGAACTGCAGACTGTAAGATACAAATGTTAGTACCTAGCATAAAGCAAAATCCAGAAAACTACAACACTGCTGCAATAGTGGTAACTGCATAATTATATATAGCACATATTACTTTGGCACTCCAAGTGATCTGGACACAGTTTTATAATATACTTTGATAAACACATGTGAAAAGGGGCCCACCCCTGTAATAGACAGTAATACTCATTAGCACACAGTAGAAATATATGTGGTGTTATTCATTAACGGCTCACTAATCAATCTAGATACTTGAGACAAGTTAAAGAACTGGCAATTCAAAGTAACTCCACCACTGTTAGTACATATATTTCTTATTTACTGGCACTGCCACAGTAAACAATAGGGAGGGGGGCGGGGAGAAAGATGAGAAGGACAAAAAAAATTACACTATAAGGTTAGGAAAACAGCAGCTTTGTATTCCCAACACTATAATGTTTCATTGTGTGGGATTCTGAATGCAGTGAAAAGATGTACAAGTGTTGCCAAAATAGTCAATTAGTCTGCCTTCCTAGGGGACTATATATGTTTGCAACATTGTGTTCTAGCATTCTGCAACAAAGTTTCTTCTACCAAACCGTGCAAAGCACATTAGTAATGTCAGGTATATCAACGGGATATTGTGCAATTATTTGTAAATATTGCACATATAGTATATATAGCTCTCATTCACATCATTTTCCTTTAAATAGCTCTTATGGAATAAATATTCCTTTTTTGTTTACTTCTGTGGATGTGGGCTATGCCTTGCTTGACATATACAGATGTCATTAGCCTCTCTAATCACTGTCACTTTACCACTCCTACTTTAATTGTTGTTTGATGCTTCATAACTTGTCTTGAAAAATAGTCTGGGAATCGACTGAAACGTTGATGTGTATATTTATTAATAAAGCAACATCTTTGAAATACGTAGAGAAAAAAAAAAAAGTACGTTGAGTACATCACGAGTGCTAGGCCCTAAAAAAAACACCACCACACACAGCCTTATAAGTTACTCGCCACTGCAGGCCTGGAGAGTCCAATGGCATACTCACAAGAGTTACATTTCCACGAACCAGGGCAAAAATTTCACTTGCCAAAGGCTAGTCGAAATTCTGAGCCCTGATCTGATGTATATAGACATGCACACATACATAAAATACAGAACAACCATTACATTTGAATAAAAACAAACCAAAAAATAGACCTCAGCACAACTAAACAAAAATTTACACAAATACTGATTGCACTTTGGAAAAGTAATAGAAAAAAAATGAATCAAAATACATTAACTGAAAATATAGCACTATACAAAATAATGTTACCATACCAAGCGTGTGCTCATACATCAACATGGCCTGTATGTAACTATTCAACTAAATTTGTTTGCTTCATCCATGCGTGTCCCTCACTTGTTTACAATCACAAATAAATGTGCTGATACAAATACACAGTGCGAACAATGATATTAAAATTACCTAAATTTTGGGGCATTAGCTTACAATAAGAAAAAGAAAAAGGGCTGCGCCACATAAAATCCCAATAATACACGACAGTTTGGATAAAGTATAAAACAAATTGAAAAAAAAGTAAAAAATAGATTAGTCCCAACAATAATAGTTCTCACATAAAAAGGATGCCTCTATTTTAGAGGTAAGTGCAGCTGTAGATGTTAGATAAGCATAAATTCTTTGTGCTTGGGGGATGTAGTAGTTCACTCTCTTAGGTTTCCGTATGAAAAGGAGAAAAAAAAAAACAGGAAGAACTAATAGTGTAATATGTCAACACTCAATAATTTGGTATAGTCACAGTAGCGATATCACACTCACATGTAAGAGAGCTATAGGCATCTCTAGCGTATGTTGTGTAGAGTGGTACAATCCCCACTTGTAGGAGATGAAGAGGGACGTCCACAGCGGTAGAGGTACCCTGTGCTCAGGAGAAGGTAAAAAAGCAACAAATAGTGCTCTCAATAAAATAAGAACTAACAAAATGGATAAAAGTTATACTGACAAGGATAGAGCAGACTCACTGCTCTATGATGATAGCATTGGTGGTATGATCCCCACCTCTGATTTCTTGAGAGTAGAGAAGATAAAATGCCAGGAGGTATGAGAAAATAAAATATAAAGGTAATGGCACAGTCCACAATCTTTTGTGACCAAAATCCTTTATTGAATAAAATACAAAATAAAATAGAAACGTGTTATGGATGTTAACCAATTTTATGAGAATTAAAACCTAAAAAAAACCAATCATCCTTTTTTACTGAAGCCAAAAGGGTTTGATAAGAGCAAACGTTACATAGTCTGTAAAAGCACGGACCCCTCTGTACCATCCAAAACTAAACAGTTCATATTCAATAGAACAAAAAAAAAAAAAAAGTATAATATTAAAGATTTTATTAGTTGCAGTACAAAAAAAATGTTGTTTATTTGTTGGAGTGCCCATGTGGCCTCCAATAGGTCGGGATGACCACTAGAAGTTTAAAGATGAGATTTAGCGAACACTGCAGAAACATTACAAAGGGATACCCAAATCATTCAGTTTCTAAGCATTTTGCCATACACAAAAATGACCCCAAATTATTAAAGTGTATTGGTATTAAAAAAAAAAAAAATGTACCATCCCTTGGAGATGAGGGAATATAAAAAAATATTCTCGGCAAATCAGAAATGGAATGGGTGTTTAATTTACAGACCCTTGCCCCTCATGGTTTAAATGTAGATTTTGATTTGTTCAATTTTATTTAATATTACTTCCCTTATACATTTTCTATATATATTTATTTTATCTATTTTAAACTTTTATGTATGTTTTTAAACATTGTGTATTTGTTTATATTTATCTCTAAATACTGTAACTGTCTTTTCCCCTCCTAATATGGCCACCTTACAATGACTAACTTTTTAAAATGGCTGCCGCCACTATTTTCTATTCCTCTACATTTTTCCCTACCAAGATGGCCGCCACAGCTACTTACAAATCATTTTACTTAAATTTTAATAATCTATTCATTGTGAGCACCAATTCTTCCCTCCCTCTACCTGCCCATTGCATTAATTAAGTGCCTTCAGCTTTGTTTTGATGTTGGCGAATGAGTGTTTTGCCGACATCATATACGTCACTGAGGACTACAGTTCCCACAAGGCCTAGCGGCCGATACTATGACACGGGTCAGGTGTTTCTGCTTTAGAAGTCTTTATTACATTAAATAAACCTAATTTTCACAATTATATATTCCAACTCCCCATCAAATGTTCTATAATTCCTATATTTGCACTTTACAAAGAGATATTGCTTTCCATTGGAGGACAGCCTATGATTGAATTTTTGGCACCAATTTTAAACTACCCCATCCCTTTTTAAACCCCATGAAGCCAGGTTGTATGTTTTTATTCCATTTGAAAAAGCCACTAGTGGACTGTGCCATTACCTTTATATTTTATTTTCTCATACCTCCTGGCATTTTATCATCTCTACTCTCAAGAAATCGGAGGTGGGGATCATACCACCAACGCTATCATTATAGAGCAGCGAGTCTTCTCTATACTTGTGAGTATAACTTTTATCCTTTTTATTAGTTCTTATTATCTTATTGAGGGCACTATTTGTTGCTTTTTTTTTTACTTCCTCCTGAGCACCGGGTACCTCTACCGCTGTGGATGTCCCTCATCTCCTACAAGTGGGTATTGTACCATTCTACGCAACATACGCTAGAGCTGGCAATAACGCTCTTACATGCGAGTGTGATATCGCTACTGTGACTATACCAAATTGAGTGTTGACATATTGCACTATTAGTTCTTCCTGTTTGTTTTTTTCTCCTTTTCACACAGAAACCCAAGAAAGTGACCCACTACATCCCCCAAGCACAAAGAATTTATGCTTATCTAACATCTACAGCTCCACTTACCTCTAAAATAGAGGCATCGTTTTTAAGTGAGAACTATTATTGTTGGGATTATTCTTTTTTTGAATTTGTTTGTTTTACACTGTTTCCTGAACGGTCGTGTATTATTGAGATTTTATGTAGCGCGGCCCTTTTTCTGTAGTCTTTTAGATTTTGGGTTGCTGCCTATCTTGATATTTAATGCTGATGCATGTGTTTTTTTAATAGCTTACAATAGGTTTCTATAAATCCACCAATGTGTACATTGACATGAACAAATGCAGGCAAATAAAAAGAAAGACAATAGAACTATTTGGGACACTGGAACAACTTATCTTATTTCAGTTTATCTAGTGCATATAGTATTGCTGGGAATAGAGATAAAGTCCTTCAAAAAGGCAAACCCAGTTTGAGAATACAGCTGTTCCCAAGGCTTAACAACTGCAGTGTTAAAGTACAGAAGCATTTACATTTAGGCTGAATTATGTACACATGCACATACACACAGAAAAACAGGAGATTTGTGCATTTTATTTATCATATCAGAAATAAATAAAAAATGTCAACTAAAGCAGATAAGCAAAAAAAGAAAAAACCTGGGGTAATGCACTTTCCCTAGCAGAACGGATACCAGTGATAGATCGAACAACCCAACTTGCTAAAGTATCTTTGAGTCAATTATTACATAGCCACGACTCCCTAGTTAGGGCTCACGCAGCAACAATAAGCAAAGATTTCTATCAACTCCCAAGTGTGGGACATTCCCTTGTATAAACTGCAGTTCCTGCAACATTATCAAGGGGGACACCGTTTCGCCTCTTAGATCTCGCAAGAAATTGAAGATTAAGAAATATACGAGTAATTTCAGCTATGCGATTTACCAAAATGCTAAAATTCAGAGACCGTGGAACCAAAAGGACTCAGAGAATTTGACTTTATTATTTATATAGCGCCATCAGGTTCCGTAGCGCTGTACAATGGGAGGACTTACATTATTTATTTTGAGATTGATCTGCACGCCATGTACAGGTTTATATGCGTCTATGATTTTCTTCCCCATTTCACTTTGTGAACCTGTGGCTATCTTTCTTATGATTCATATTTTGTAAAAAAAATAAAATTATATATATATGTTATGGTGTATCTTTATACATACTATTTAATATAGTATATTTCTGTTCTCTAATATAATGTACTTTCTTCTAAGACTGAGGATTGTGCAATTATTTACTCTGAGCTTGGTTACATTGTTTCCTAATTATGATGTGTACTTCTACATTATACTTCATTCTCTGTACCATTATTATTGCTAATGTATCATACATACATTCCTGCTACATTGCACTTTATTTCTTTCTCCAGATTCGCCTCTTCAGTAAATATATTCCTATATCCATCTCCTCCCAGCATTACCTAGCCTACCCGTCCACATTCTTGTTATGTTGCTTTTTATTCTTCCTTATTTTGAATGTTGCACTTTGCATATTAAGCAGCTGGCCTGCCTTTCTCTATTTTCACCCCCTTTTTTCCCATACCTGTGTATTTTACCTGCTTGGGTAATTATTATTCACTGTGTGTTGGTATCTCCTGTCTTTGCTACTCAAATGGTTGATAGTTTACCTATTTGCCTCACTTGGTTACCATGGAAACCAGATCCTATTTGTTCACATGGTTGTGAACAAATTTTCTTTACATTCTTATGCTTAGTCTATTTTATGTTTTTCTCTCTCTCTCCCCTTGTTATTGTCGCGTTTAGTCTTTCTTTGCACTGTTTTTTTGATTGTACCAAGGGACTGGGGTTCCTCACGACTGAAGATTGAGCTCTATGCCCAATTCGTATAGCATTCTAATTTTTGGACCAGGTATTGTTTTATTGTAGCACATGCTATATATGCATTGTGCCTACCCCTAGTCGAGCAATCACATGGATCACCGAGTAGCTAGTTTCCATGACAACCCAATTTCAGTTTAACTATTCTTTGCTGCACACCAATTTCTTCTATGCCTCCCTTTCTCTGCAATGATGGATCATCCTTTAAAAGACCACTTTAGGCACCCAGACCACTTCAGCTTAATGAAGTGGTCTGGGTGCTTGGTCCAGCTAGGGTTAACCCATTTTTTTTAATTATTATTTTTATAAACATAGCAGTTTCAGAGAAACTGCTATGTTTATAAATGGGTTAATCCAGCCCTCAAATCCTCTAGTGGCTGTCTCATTGACAGCTGCTAGAGGCGCTTGAGTGATTCTCACTGTGAAAATCACAGTGAGAACACGCAAGCATCCATAGGAAAGCATTGTAAAAGCTCCCCGACAGGCGCTGGAGAAAGGTAAGTTTTAACCCATTTCCTCTCCCCAGAGCCGGGCGGGAGGGAGACCCTGAGGTTGGGGGCACCCTCAGGGCACTATAGTGGTCCTTTAAGTTCTTGTCCCTATTGTTCGATGCACACTGTTTTCTGGTCTCTGATAACCAAGCATACCAGAAGTCCTCCCCTCAGGTGTGTTACAATTATTTCTCTTTCTCTGTCACATCACCAGACTGAGGAAGATGGTAGATCTTTGTGAAGAAATATTGTTTAACCACAGGTATGTATGGTTTTGTTTGTATACTTGTTTAAAGGTGGAGGACAAAATGTATATAGTATTGCTCTTCTGCTCCCAATAACAAAAATCTACAAATTGCAACACACTATGATTAGGGATGCACCGAAATTTCATCCGAAAATGGGTCTATCCCGTTTATGCCGAAAATGGGTCAAATTTGCAAAAAAAAATTCAAAAAACAAAGTGTTGAGAAAAGAACACTATGGGACGGGGAGAAAAGAACACTATGGGACGGGGAGAAAAGAACACTATGGGACGGGGAGAAAAGAACACTATGGGACGGGGAGAAAAGAACACTATGGGACGGGGAGAAAAGAACACTATGGGACTGGGGATGAGGGGGGAAAGAACACTAAAAAAGAGGAGGGGAAGGAACACTAGAGTGGGGAGAGAGGAACATTAAGCAGGGGGGACCACTAAAAGAGAAGGGAAGTTTTTTATATTAGATTAAAAAAAAAATTATAGGAAAAAACCTTTCAAAATCATTTGGGGAAAAAAAAATTTAATTTTTGGTTTCCGGCCGAAGGGCATCCTGAATTTTCATTTTGGTGCATCCCAGACTGATGCCTTTGGGTTTTTCACATTGTTTTCTGTCTATGCAGCCCTATCCACACCTCTCCTGAGGTTGTGACTCACTCAGCCAGCATGACAAAAATGGTTTCATTTTCAATCAGATGAAAATGTGCTGTAGAAGTTTCTATCTCCTGCTCTATAAACTGACCTGTAAAAACACACCCCTCCTGCAGGTTCTAGAATGTTATTAGAGAATAAGATAAATTCTAGCTTAAACAGGCTTTGCGATAAAGGGGCTTAGAATATCTAGGTTAAATTTCAGGAAGTGTTTTGAAAGGCTGTGCAAGTCACATGCAGGGAGGTGTGGCTAGGGTTGTAAAAAAGTGATTTAACTCCTAAATAGTGGAGAAATTAGCTTCATTAAGCTAAAGTTATTTTGGTGACTATAGGGTCCCTTTAATGACATAATAAAACAATAAAAATGCAGAAAACACCATAAGTGAAAAAAATAAATAAGACTAAAATAGTAGAATATTTAGTTTAAAATCAAAAACATTAGAAGGGGCACTCTACCAGACTAACAGACTCATGTCATGTGCATACACACACACATACATATATTTTTAACAATCAAAGAAAAATAAAAGTCATGAAAATCACACCTAACTTTCCATCAGGTTTTCATCAAAGCATTGTTCTACTCTATGATTCTAGATGATGAAAACAAATGTACAAGTATAAGAGAATTGAAACCCCTGCTGGCTACCCTCATTTACACAACTGCTATTCTTTTTATTAATAAATGAAAAATAACCAGAGGGTCAGTTTATATATGGATCCGCGCATTGGAATGAATAGATCCTTTTCTTTCTAACTATGGGTCTCAAATTATTTTCCAGCACAAATTTATTGGTTATCTACAGAACTCCAGTTAACAGAAAGGTTTAGAGACCTTAGACATTCCTGAGGCTAGCCTATGTCTGTGCATTTTTCTTAAAACATTTTGTTTTATTTAAAACAAAGCAGTTTTCCTGGCACTATAGGTTCTCACAGTGCCAGCCGGCTTGGGAGCCTTAATGCGCATTCGCGCCAATGGCCGTGCTCGCATTAGGACTTCCTCATAAAAAAGCTTGAGGCCGCCCAGCTTAATTTAGGCGACCAAAAGTTATCTAAGCACCTGGTATACCTCTACTAGAGGTGGAGTTAACTGTGACCTATTAAAAGTAAATGCTATGAAGGAGGAAGCGGCTCTAGAGCCTGCCTGATAGCCACTAGAAAAATGTTTTCAGCCAACAATAAACTCGTAGAAAAAGATACTGGATATTTGTACCACAGTTACTACATTAATATGTAGTTTCGTGCTCAGTGTGTTTCTTTAAAGGATCACTATAGGGTCAGGAACTGAAACGTGTTCCTGACCCTATAGTGTTAAAACCCCCATCTAGCCCCCCTGGGCCCCTCATGCCCCCATAAATATAGCAACATCTTACTGTATTCAAGCCAGAAGCTGTAACTCTGCTTGTTTTTCTGAGTCAAACAGTATGCAGTCTGCTGACATCATCAGAAGTGGTAGCCTGATCCAATCACAGTGCTTCCTCATAGGATTGGCTGAGACTGATAAAGAGGCAGATCAGGGGCAGAGTCAGCATGATTCAAACACAGCCCTGGCCAATCAGCATCTCCTCAGAGATGAATTGAATCAATGAATCTCTATGAGGAAAGTTCAGTGTCTGCATGCAGAGGTAGGAGACACTGAATGTTTCGATGCATTTTAGGCAGCTATGATCCAGGAAGGATCTCTAACAGCTATCTGAGGAGTGGCCAGTGAAGTGAGCACTAGGCTGTAAAGTAAACACTGCATTTTCTCTGAAAAGACAGTGTTTACAGCAAAAAACCTGAAGGTAATGATTCTACTCACCAGAACAAATTCAGTAAGCTGTAGTTCTGGTTACTATAGTGTCCCTTTAAAGCATGATGTACAATAACAATGAAAAGGTTGAAGAAAAATTTAATTTTAAATAAAATAAGGCAAAGGAAATGCCCAATTATGTCTAATCAAGGGACATGTATGGATTTTAACACTTAATATTCAAAGTAAAGTATGTTTTACATTTAAACTTCTAAAAGCGGATTTAGAAAAGTCAGTCTAAAGAAGAATCTGAGCTGTAACAAAATAACTGTGCTGCAATTTTTTCCCCTGATCACTTGTTTCTGCATGGGGAGGAGCTGTCAACAGATTCCAAATAGAGCTATAAAAATGTCCTCTCAGCAAAACAGAATACCGAAGTGATGTCAGCATGGAGCAGTTTCCTGCATTATGCTACTGGTTTGTATTAAATCATGTTACAAATATACTATTAGTTACATCTGCCACAAACTTAAACCAAGGTAAATTTTAAATGGTAATCAGTAAGTGAATTTTAAAAGCTACAAGTAACTAAATGTCTTTGTAAAATGGACTGCCATTAAATCACACACTTGATGGACAGTGGTTGGATTCAGAAGGGCTAGAAAGCCATGGAAGCGTTCCAAGGGACCACTACGTTCTGAATGACATATCTGCAACAATTGGTAAAAATCAATTGGGCTTTCAATTAGTCAGCATATAATTTTGTTCTAGGTTACCTTACAGGAATGTTGTGCAAAACACTCACACAGTAAGGAAGACTTACACGTTCACTGGACAGGACCGAGGACTCCAAATGCACAACCTGTCTATCCATAGCAACACAGCTTGGTTCACTAAACAGGCTGCATAAATACCAATGGATAGCCACAGTAGTGTTATTGCTTTTATTGTTACAATGCAATTTCAATCATCATATGTTATATTTGGAACTGAGGAACTATACTTATCCCATAAACCTCTGCTGGACAATATCAGCCAACACAAGCCAGAACAAGATGCTTCTGACTGGAAGTGGTCTGCCTTTGATTCTGGATAGAGCAGTTGGTGGCTCTTTTAATGTATACAGTGTTTAAATTTATTTTGCATTATATTTAACTCATCTATGCATTAAAATATATTTTTAATCACCAAACCAATACCTTTAAAAGACTAATAGTATTTCAAGGAGCCCATTCCTACCCTTACCTCTTGCATCACTTTACCCCACTTCCTCTAGAATGTAAGCTAGTTTGAGCAGGGACACCAACGCCCTCTGTTCCTGCGCACCCAACGTGTTTGGTTACAAATACTTGTCTGTTAGTCCTCCCATTATATAGTGTTGCGGAATTTGGCATTTTATAAATAATATTAAAAGTGATTTCAATGCAAAGCAGAAAACATAATAATGTAAAATGAGAATAATAGTGTAATCGTAGGAAATCAGCAGAAAGATTTCTCAAGTACACTGCGAGAAACAATCAGCTGGGAAAGCAATGGATATATGCATAGATCTTGGATAGACCAGCTTGGCTTGGTTTTTTTATCCAGATTGTGTTACAACTAAACTAGGGATTGACTGCTTTTTTAGAGCGCATAACGATACCAATAATCTGTGGCCTTTCAGGCCGATAGCTTCTACCAATATTCTATACATTTGCCGTTGGAGTTTTTATGTTTTCAAGAGTATGTACGTGTATAAAGTGGATGCAGTGTGTGTTTGTGTATAAATATTTGGGTAAGATTCTGTGGATTCTTTTTAAAAAAAAATTTTTTTATACAATTATTAAAAATAAAAAATGTTCTTGTTATCCGACACCCCTTCCTTTTACCTATGGCTTTAAAGTCCCTGGTGGTCCAGTGGCTTTAAAGTCCCTGGTGGTCCAGTGGCTTTGTGCAGGCTGTCAGGGGATGGCTAGCACTATCTTGGGTCCTCTCTCCAACTGTCTTGAGACAGAGTTAGACAGGGGAGCTGCTGTGAAGGCAAGTAAGAGTGTGCAGGAACCCCTGGCAATGCCATATGCCCCCTCCCTGGCCAGATAAGAAGCAGATAGGGGGGGTCTAAAACTAAATGTAAAAAATAAAATAAATATTTTAGAGGGTAAAACCCCCCACCCCTCCCCCCCACTTTACACACACACACTGCATTCATTATATATACACACTGCATCCACTACACAAACACACACATATATTCTTGAAAACAAAGAATTCTGACTGGTATGTATATTTTGTGCGTTTACCTTAAAAAAAGATTTGCTAAAAAATACATAAACATTCAGTTAACAGTAAATTTGTGTAGAAAGTTTATTTTTTCCCAAAATGGTAAATGTACAGAATATCTGTAAGTTATCAGCCATCGGCCTGAATATTCACAGATTATCAGTAACTGCTCAAAAAAAAAAAAAATCAATATCGGTCGATTCCCAATATATACACCAAAACTGCTTCATTAAGCTAAAGTTGTCTTGATGACTAAAGTGTCCGTTTAAAAGGGACAAATATATAAAGCTACAAAAAAAAAAAATGCATAATTAAACACATGCATGTTGTCATTGGTGGGTCATTTTTGTATTTGACCAGTGGAGTGTGCTTTTAAAGGAAAACATAAAGGGACTCTCCAGTGCCAGGAAAACATATCCCTGCCCCTCTCCCTCCCCCCATCCCATGTTGCTGAAGGGGTTAAAACCCCATTCAGTGACTTATCTGAATCCAGCGCTGATGTCCCTCGGCGCTGGGTCAGGCTCCGCCAACGTCAGCCGGCAGGGGAGAGCTAGTGTGCATGCGCGGCATTAGACCTCCCCATAGAAAAGCATTATTCAACAAAGACAACCAGTAGAGGAGGACTTAACCCAGCAAGGTAATTATTGCAGTTCCTAAGCATCGTTTCATGGGATCAAACACTGTGAAAGGTCAGGAAGTGCCTCTGGGAGACAGCCACTTGAGGCTTTCTTAACTCTGCAATGTTTGTAGTTGCAGGGCTATGTGCACCCAGCTCACTTCAATGAGATGAAGTTATCTGAGTGCCTATAGTGTCCCTTTAACATTGCAGCACTGTACTTATCTTTACAACAGACATACTAATATGCATGCTGCCTGCTTCAGCAGATTAAATGATAAAGGGCAGCTGATTTGCGCAGAGTCACTGTGCAAAACAAGCTTGTTTGAAGGAAAATAAATAAAAAGGTCAAAAGTGCTTGACTTTGTTATACGGTCAACCAGCATTGGGGAAAGAAATGACGTAATACTGATGCATAACTCAACAGCTTTAGCACTCTTATGATGCAAGAACAATGTAAGACAGTGCAGACTTCGGAGGAAAGGAGTTGTGTAATAGGTTTGCATCTTCCAAACCCAGGGCATGTATCAATAACCAAAGTGGAAATATTTTATGATTTCAAGCAAATTTTAAGATCTAAAGTTATAAGAGTACAGAGAAAAGGGAAACTCGCCTTATGAATTAATCACACTTCAATAAAATTTTATGAAATTACATTCATCAGCACCCTTTGAACATCACAACACAAGCAGTGCTCTAGGAATTTGCTTCCAAATAGGCTACATTTATTTAAAATAGTGCCTGCTTGGTTTCAAAATGAGAAAATTTACAGGAAGAGACTACTTTTTAAGCAATACTTGTTCACTAAAATAGAGCCACCTATGTATTAACATTTTTATTCTACATGTATTCAACGATAAAATTGTGACTATATGTACAATGAATTAACTGGGCCAATACATGAAGTGACAAAGTATTTATAATATACTACTAGGCCAAGCACGAGATAAGATTGTAAAAACAAAGTATTCAAAATGACTGACGATATGTTTCTATCAGCTTACACAAAGCTGTTCATTCTACTTTACATAACCACTTTTGGTGTCTCCATTAAGTTAAAAACCCTTTTTGAAAAAAATATATTCTGTACTTGGAAGTTGTTTATTGATGATGATGTAATGCCTAAGTACCGACTATTTACAAACGAATACCTGCTCTGTAGCAAACACAAACACATTGTTGATCAACGGTGCATATAAAACACAACATTTGACATTTCCACTATTAGAAAGTTATGGTACAAAGCATATACAGTAAACTACTATTTTCTTTTTCTAGGTTTAACATTTGCGGTGCCAGATTAGTTCAAATTTAAAGCTAGATGTATATGTGTTCAAACAAAGAGAGGGATAATACATGCTAGAGCAGACAATGGATCGATTTATCATGAAATCCACGCGTTACATTGTTTACGATATTTAGGGTTCAGTCTATACAAATCCCTGCATGTGCAGAGAGCCATTGCTTGCCCTACAACAGATAGAATGCTTAAGTTGGCCATCTATTCCAAACTCACACTTTCATATAACAGAATGTCAGCATGCCTAAAGGAAGCCCAGTATCTACCATATGGATAGGTACAAGTATTAGTAAAGTTATGGCTCACCTTCAGCAGTGTTTAACCCCTAAGGACCAAACTTCTGGAATAAAAGGGAATCATGACATGTCACACATGTCATGTGTCCTTAAGGGGTTAAACTGTGACTACAATTTTCATAATGTTTAGTCAATTGAGTAAAAAAGATTACCCAAACCAAAAGTGCTAGAATATTAGCTCCCATTGCTTTAGGGATACAGCTATAAATTGTTTGGCTTAGATTTGCATTAATCCATGATTGCCAGATACACAAGGAAAGTTCATTTACCAAATAATGAACAGGTAATGTATACTATCTGTTGTGCAGCCTTATGAAAAAAAATAATAATCAAGGTTTGCAATGCATTGGAGTATAAGTTTATAAATAAGGACACTGATTGCATTTCCAAACCTATCAGAGGTAGAGTGATTAGTCATAAGGGGGCTTCCCACTGGGGCCTGTTAATGTTGACGTGTCCCCCAATTGGAGGCGGAGGGTAATAACTGGGCCTTCCTGTAAACAAGGCCCTGGAACCTGCCTTCCTAAACCCTGACCTTTGCCGCCATTACATCCCAGGAGCTGAACTGCATCACCAAATGAGAGGAGGATTACCCTGCCATCCCTGCAGCCACGTGTTTCATCCCCGCCTACCCCCCACCCCTCACCCACCCAGCTCAGCCCTGCATCCCTGGGTAACCACAGCTACTGCCCCACTGCCTAATCCACGCATGGACTGCAGAACTACAACTCCCATGACGCAACGCCAGGCGTAGTGCGGGCAGAGCATCATGGGAGCTGTAGTTCTGAGCCGCCCAAGGCCTGGCGTGAGCCCTCTGATTCCCAAGCAGCGCAGTGAGGGCTGGGGCCCCGCTTGGTGCAGAGCGCCAGGGGCCGGCCACGCGCGTGCTTCCCATGAATGGGGCTGCCGGCAGTGAGTGCAGCGCATTGCTCTGCAGCCATTGCCATGCACACAGTACATGCAGTACACGCAGGGTGCGGCCTGGCTCTGCCCGGGGATTACACAGCGTGCAGTGTGTGAGCACACAGCAAGCCTCGCCGGGCCGCCGCCCACACCGTGCCGCATGGCGCCATGTCACCGACCCCCAGCCGGCCTACAGAGCACAGCGAGCCCGGCACACCACAAATAACCCTCCCAACAGGCCCCCGGCTGCACCGGGCCGGCCTGACCCCCCGCTCCCCGCACACACTCACCTGAAGCTGCCATGTTGGGCCGAGTGTGAAAGAACGCAAAGACCCGGATGAGGCGGTCACGTGCGCGTAGCGCCAGGTCTTCCAGCGAAGGAGAGAGCGAGGGGCGGGGGCTGGTGGCGCGTGACGTAATCACGCCGGGCTGGCGCTGGAGGCGTCACGCCCTCTCTCTCTCTCCCGCCATTTTTGTTCTGGGAAGCTTTGCCCGCATTCGAATGCAAATTTTTTTTAGATGCAGCACAATTGTCTGTAACTGAGAACCTGCACAGTGGGAGTGAAGGGAAAAGTGTTTTTTTTTTGTTTTTTTTATATGAGGTGTAAAAAATATTGGACTTATACTATATATAAATATTGAACCTGGATTTGTTGTCATTCAGATTTTACAGTTGTTACAATTATGTGTGTAGTTGAAGTCTACACTTTTCAATTAGGATATTATAGCCTTAAAATTTGTCCAGCTCAGCTATGATTCCAGTTTGGCTATTTTGACCTTACACGTTGAAATTCACTTTATTGAATAACCCTGAAAATGGTTGCTTTTTTGAGCAAAAAAAAACAAAACAAAATTAAACAAATTAAAAAGGCGCTGTGCTACATTACAAAACAACATGTAATAGTACAAACAGGGCACAAAAAAGGCTGATGCATTTCATACATAGCTGAGGATGCAGAGGAAATAATGATAAGTGAATTCTGAATTAAAGCCATATAATCCAATTTACCTCTGTGTAGTCTAATTTTGCTCTCCAATAACTCTTTCTTATGGATTTCAAAGCCCTTTAGATGTCCTGCACTGGAAGTTGTCTATTCACATTATTGTAGTCAATGAAATGTCATACTATTATATTCACTATATCCTTTCATTCTATAACATTAATGTGCTTCCTAAATCTGGAGATTAAATGTCCGTCCTACATATTGAATAAGCATTACAAGCATGCAAACAGGTGTATGATAGAAATGTTATAGAAATGCACTGTTATTATCAGCCCTAACAACAGTCCATGCCCTACAGCTGCTGCAGGCCCATGTGTATGTACCCACATTGTGTAGCCAAGTTAGGTTGAGTCAATGTCACCAAATTAAGTGACAAAAGATTGGCAAGCTTCCATGCCTTTCTATAGCATCGCACTAGATGCCACATGTTTTTTATTCTAGCTCACGGGTAAAATATCGAACAGAACAATTCTGATTGTCCTGTGAGCTGTAATCTTATATTCCTGTGCTAAATGCAGGTTCAACAAAAAAGTAACTCTCTAAGGGTGTTGACTTACTTAATACCCTCAATACCCTTCCTATTGTGTTTTATACCCCACCTCCTCTAGACTGTAAGTTTGTTTGAGCAGGGTCTTCATCTATCTATTGTTCTTGTAACATTTCGTTATTGTCTCATTTGTTAAATTCCCCTTTTATTGTAAAGCGCTGCGGAATTACCATGGTGCTATATAAATACCAATAATAATCTAAATAATTCTGATGCATCCTAGGTTATTTCTCTGTTTAAATAAAACACTAAAGGGTAATCACACCTCTAAAGGTCTAATCTTTTTCCTAGTTGACTTGGATTACAAACACATCTAATTTAAAACCACTCATACTAATCTCTAAAACAAAATGACCGTTTACTAAATCTTACATCTTTATGGAAATAGTTTGCTCTAAGTTAGTTGTTACCAGCACAGTTCTTCAGCCCTACCCCACCCCCACCCAACCACAATGTAAGTAGTCAAATGGTTTGACTTCTTAATTGGGGACTATGCCTCATGGCCAGCATATCTCTTCACTGGTGCTGAACTTTCCTCATTGGCTGAGAGCAATCATAATCAACTGCACAGCAATGTTTACTAAAGAGAGCTAATGAAAGCTCCTAGCAGGAGCTTTTGGCTCTCGCTTCCCTATTTGGCAAGGGCTGGGGTGGTGGAGCTCAGGATACAGGAACAGAGTGAGGTGCAAGGTAACAAACTAGGATAATCCAAAGGTGCATTCAGGTCAAGCAAAGGACAGTCGAGACAGGATTGGTTCATAAGCAGAAGAATCAATAACAAGTCCACTAGAGTAAAGTCTAAGCAATTATACAGTACTTGGGGCAACATTATAATGAGGTATTAGGGATATACATCCTTTTACATCAAACCAGCATGATGAGCGTAATTTCTGTGTCATTATGCACTCTTCTTGCTCTATTTTTGGTTGCATGTGCCCCTATAGTGTCAATTATGAATACGGATAATGGTGACCGCTACATGGGTGGTACCTGCACTACGCCGTGCCTGGGAGGATGTGCAAGCAGTTATAGATAGGAACAGCACAAGTAGTCTTATTTGGTGAGTATTGCAGGAAGCAAGATGAGCCCTTGACACAGTTTGACTTCCTACTTGGCGTCCATTGGGCGCTGCTGTCCTGAGCTAAGTCCTGCAGTGCAGATACAGCTCATTGGCTGAGAGTGTCATCTGCCCTGCCAGTGTTAGCTCAGTCATGAGAGCGTCTGGCAGTGTAGAGGCATGGGGCACAACCCAGGGGAGACCAGGTAAGAAGTCTCCCCTTCCATCCATGTCTCTGTTCCCATCCCTTCCATAGGCGTGCGCAGCCTATTGTATAAGGGTGTGCACCCTAAAGCAGAAACACACACGCTGCGTATATATATATATATATATATATATACACACATACACACACACACACTACTGTGTGTGTGAGGGTGCTGTGTGTGTGTGTAGGTGCTGTGTGTGAAGGCGCTGTGTGTGTGCAGGTGCTGTGTGTGAAGGCACTGTGTATGTGTGCGGGCACTGTGTGTGTGGGCGAGCTGTGTGTGTGAAGGCACTGTGTGTGTGAAGGCGCTGTGTGTGTGTGAAGGTGCTGTGTGTGTAAGGGTGGTGTTAGTGTGGACTGAGTGTGTGCATGTGTGAGGGTGCTGTGTGTAAGGGTGTTGTTAGTGTGAGGGTGCTGTTAGTGTGTGTGTGCTGTGTGTCTAAGGGTGATGTATGTGTGTGTGCTGTATGTTTGTGTGTAAGTGTGGGGGCCGTTTAGTTAATATCCCCCCTCCCTTCTTACCTTATGTAGGGAGGGGGCCCGTGCTCCTGCCTTCCCTGGTGGTCCAGTGGAGAGTGAACTCTAGCCCCTGTGGGGCTAGAGTTCACTCTCGCGAGATCTGAGTGTTGCTGCGGTAACCCCGGCAACGCTCCGACCGCGCGAGAGGAACCTGGCGGAGCTGCTGGCAAGAGCTCCCCGGGTCCTCTCCTGTCTGTGGGTCGGTGAGGGAGATCTTTTATCTCCCTCACCTGCCCATGGAAGGAGGCACATAGCACGTGCCGTTGGGATTAGGGTGTGCACGCCTATGATCCCTTCCATGTCTTTTCATTCCCCCTTCTTCCACCCATGTCTCTTCCCCTCTCCCCTTCCACCCATGTCTCTGTTTATCTGTTTTGCATGTCTCTTCCCCCCCCTTCTTTCATCCATGTCTCTTCCCTTCTTCCATCCATGGCTCTTCCCCTTTCAGGTCCCTTTTCCACTTCTTTCATGCATTTCTCCCTCCATCCATGTCTCTCCCCCCTTCCATCCATGTCTCTCCTACTTTCATGTCTCTCTTATCCTTCTTTCATCAATTTCTCTTTTCTCCCATCCATGTCTTTCCCCCTTCCATGTCTCTCCCCCTTCTTCCATCCATGTCTTTCTTCACCAATTAATGTCTTTCAACCCTGCTGTTTTACCTGTAATGGCAGGGTAGGGGGCTCACTGATGTCTGGCGTGGGGTGCTGTGCCTGTTTCAGACTGAGCGCCACGTAGTCACATGTTTAGTGTGCATGTGGTTCCCTTATGAAGTAGCATGCTACCTGAAAAAAAATGGTTCCCAAACTGTGTGCTGTGGAGCCCCAGGGGTGCTGCAAAATATTTCCCCAGTGCTATAATCACTTGTGCCTCACTCTCCCCCGCTGGCTCTGCATGACCGGTGAGGACATCAAAGATCTCCCTCAACGGCCCGATAGCACTGAAATGCTGCAGCCGGCAAGGGAGGGAGAGAGGTCCCGGGTGAGCTCTAACCTGCAGCTCTGCTGAATTCTCCTATTGCGAGTTCGGAGCGTTGCAGTTGTTACCCTAATATGCTCCGAATGTCGCAAGATTGAACTCTAGCCTCAGGAGCTTCTAGAATTCACTCTCACAAGTTGGATCACCAGGGCTTCTCCACCAGACCACCAGGGATTGCCTTGTACTGTCCCCCCTCCAAGGCAAAGGTAAAAAGTGAGGGGGGTATAATTGTTGTTGTTTAAAAAAAAAAAAAAAAAAAGTATATATTTATTAATCTGCCCTCCCCCAATACACACATACTGCTCACATATACATACATTGCCCCTTTATACACACACCCTGCTCTCCATACACATTCATTGCCCCTCCATACACACACACTGCCCCATACACATACACTGCCCAATACACATACACTGTACTCCTTGCACGCTGCCCCCCATACACACACATTGCCCATCCATACACACACATTGCCCCTCCATACACACGCATTGCCCCTCCATACACACGCACACACACTTCACCACTCACACACACACTTTTACTCACACTGCACCCCTCACACACACACATTTTAACCCACACACAATGCTCCCTCATACACACACAACACTGCCCCTATCCCCTACTACAGTCCCTATCCTGGTAGACCCCAGGTAAGTTTTCAAACTGTTTTTAAACAGTTTGACTGCTTACCCAGGGAGGGCACTATGGCACTCCTGGACGAATAACCACTACAGAGTGCTGTAGTGGTTATTGTGCCTGGATTGTTTCTTTAAATATTCTACCAGTACCCATCCTGAGATTAGGTTATGGGTCCGCCCCTGAAACGGAAACATTTCTGCAGAACAGGGGCCCATTATATGCTGCAGTGCAGTACATATATACATCCTAGAAATTATTTTGACTTGGGGTGCCTTGGAAAAATATTGAAATATTAAGGGTGCCTTAAACCTAAAACGTTTGGGAACCACTGGGCTATGGAATTCACCCTCTAGAAGAATAAACCAGTACAGATGCTGTGGCCAAAAATAATAATAATTCCTTCACCTCAAAAGTTTTTTTTCACTAATTAGGAATGTTACAGTGTT